TCATGTGTTCTGTTTTTCTGTTCTTTTTATACACAAAAAGCGTTTTTGTCCTTTCATTTCACCTTTGCTGGAAGGTAAATCTATTTTGTGTATATACATACTAATTCAAAACTGTGTAGATATACTATGTTGAGAGAGAGAGAGAGAGAGAGAGAGAGAGTCTAGTGTGCTCTTGAATATATAATTGAGAGAGACAAAACAAGTATAAGTCTCTTCATATATATTTGTTTCAATCAATATTCAGTGCTAATAGATGAACGTTATTATAATACTAAATACTGTGAAAAATTGCACGCTATGATATCATAGATGAAATTATCATGATTTATTAGCCTAATATAGAAATAAAATTAGCAAAAATAATTATAGAATATGAGAAGAGAAATCTGATATGAAAAATACTATGAAAAAATAATCGATTTTCATTAAAAAATATTATCAATATTATCAATATTATCAAAAAATTTTCTAATTGTATCTGATATATGTATAGCTAATAAAATTTTCAATTGTTTTTAAGAGGATTTGACTGATCACAGTTTAATACGTTAAATGTTAGACATACTAAATCAGTTGATCTAGGATAGTTAAATAAACATTCAAATATAATTCAATGGAAAATCTATGCTATTTGTAAATATTTTCTACTGAAATTTTTTGCACAACGTAAATAAATCTTAAAAAACAAGGCGACTCGTTTTATTTTTGAAGCTGAAAAACATTTTACACCATGTTTTTTTTGAAAAAAATAGGAAACTCTAAACATACTAGATAGATATTCTGTGTCAAACTTGTATTATCTTCAAAATTAGTATGCTCTGCAAAGAGTAAAAAAAACGATGTACTCACTCTTGTTGTAAATGATGGTTGTCGATGAACCATACCATTTTTTTTTAATATAGATAATTTTTGTCGTTCAAATTCATTAATTGTATCACGTTGAAGTTCCAATTGTTCAGTTAAAACTTGTACTTGTAAAGTTAAACTACTACGTTCATTTTCTAATCGATGAAGTTTATCTGTTAAACGATCAATGGACGTTGAAGCAAGTAATGTTGGACTCTAAAGAACAATATTTTAATTACATACGAGATAAGAACAAAGAAAAAAGATTATCTTTTCAAACATTTTATTCATTTGATCAATTTCTTATCAATTTACTTTGTAATCTCGGTAGTCTATATTATTTCCTTGAATTGGTGATCTTGTCATTGTCAGCAACAACAAAAGATCGTCGCTATTTTTTCTTACTCTCTATTGTCTAATATGTAAACTTCTTCATGACAAACTGCATCTTAGATAGAGAATAAATTCTAGTACAGAGGGTATATAAACATAGAGTTCTATATTTCACATTCTTGATGAGTAGATATTTTATCTCTTTCTATACGTGTGTCGTGTGTTATTCACTTAAATATTCTGATGAATTACCCATATTGATCTCTCAATTCATTAGACAAAATGTCTGTGTCTTAATTTTGTAAATTTAAGTTGTTACAGTTACTCTTCAAAAAATTTTAATGATACCAGAGGAAATTAAATCACCTTTAAAGCTCTCTATACCTAATATCAAAAGTGATACTTATTTTATTTTACGTCTTTGTTCGCTCTGCCTTTATACGTCATCCATGGTCTAAGTTAAAAAAAAAAATTGATTATTTTTCTTTGTGATGTAGTGGAAAGAAATGCTGCATGAGCAAAAGAAAGATGATGGGCTAGATCAAGAATATAATAGAATAAATTTTGACACGTTCAACGAGCCGCATAATTGTATTTTTTTTTTCAATATTCATAACAATTTGAGCTTATTAGACGCGACTGTACGATTGGCACATATATTCTTACTAAATATAAAATATATATATATATAAGGACCTTGTATATATTGCTCCTTTACCTTTCGTTTTATTTCTTTTCAACTTAAGAGATGGTCATGTTCACCTGGATGATAGGCGTGTGCCTATATGTCTCTCTATTTTACTTGTAAATTTTTTTCAAGTTTATTTTGTCAAGAGTTTTCATCATTCTCTTAGAGAGTTAAATCTATACTCGTGTAAAATAACTTTGTAGTTGTCAGAACTCAATTTTAAAAACATATTTGCTAGCCGAAACGGTTGGTCTCTTGAACCAAAGTATTCTAACGAGAATATAGTGTATTCATATAAAAAAAATTTATGATCGTAGATTTATTTCCTTCAGTATGTCTTTTATAGAATGAAAAATAATTTATCTTTCCTTAACTCATTAATACTGTAAACAATAGATAATTTTGCATTATATATTTCTAAGAAGTAATTTTAATGAATCTCACAGCATTTGTTTTAATTATGATACAGCACAAGCACGTCATATATACACAGAAACATACACGCCACTATCTTACGAATATTTGAACAAGTCAGAAATCATTATAAAATAAGAATGTATGACAAATATTTTAGAAATGTATGCAATGGAGCAATCAAATAAATTAGACATTAATTGTAACTTTTATAGTACACACTTAATAATTTCTATAATAATTGAATTATGCAATGTTATGCGAATAATTTATCTACCTATGTCATCATATCTATCAATAAGATAGTAGAAAAACATCCAAATTAAAACAAATGAAGAATGATCTGTTGGATCTCTTATACATCTGTCTTCACAAACAGTTCAGCAAATATACTAGAGCACTAAGATCGATATCATAGTTCAATGCAGATTCTACAATATAGTTACAATATAGTCATGATGTTAAAGGTACATAATTACATCTCCATCCTCTGAAAAATCTAGGCGAGTCCTAACGCAGAGTTCATCGCTAGTTCATGTTCCATTTAGTTTGTTATTACTTGAAAACAAACATGCTATGGAACATGTCTATTATTCCTAAAGATTTTGGGTTCAGTAACTCCATGTTGCAATATAAATCATATCAGTCGACTTAAGTATCTCGTTCCTTGACTGACGATCTCATGCACTACATACCGTTGGCGATCAAACTTTCAGTCTTATGTAGTTTGTCGAGACGGACAATTTCCAATGTGTTAAACTAGCAGAAACGTTCTCCTTCTGTTCGATCTTGCTATACATCTCGGTACGATAATGCTCGCTTCATATGTCTGCTGTGATGAAGAGACACCTCTACAACTTTCTTCCTGATCGACTATTCTTCACTCAAATCTTGAACCGTTCACTACGTGACATCGAACAATGTCTTCTGCACAGTTCAAGTGAGAGTGATGTTTCGAAGTTTAGTTTTCCGATAATCACTGGAAGTATCAGTGGATGATGATGTGGCTGTAGTCTTTCCCCAATGAACGTCAACAGACTAGGATTCTGTCATGAGGAGCTGACTGTGAACATGCTGAACTTGTTGGGTGATCATGTTATGAAAGGCTACACACAAGTGTCATCTGTGGTCATGTTTCACATAAATCTATAATCCTCTTACAGCTGCCGTCACATCCTTTTAGTAAACACAGCTGGAATCGTTGATTCTACTTTGAATTGGTATTATCTCAGTATTTTCTTAATCAATGGAAAAACATTTTTCCGCACAACACCTTCGGTGAGAGTGATGTTTCGAAGTTTAGTTTTCCGATAATCACTGAAAGTATCAGTGGATGATGATGTGGCTGTAGTCTTTCCCCAATGAACGTCAACAGACGAGGATTCTGTCGTGAGGAGCTGGCTGTGAATATGCTGAACTTGTTAGGTGATTATGATATGAGTGGTTACACACAAGAATCATTTGACTTTACGTTTCACATAGTCCTCGAGATACAGGGTGGCGAGGATACTTGTGTCCAGCGCTGCAACACTATATGTGTGTAACAAGTGGAGACACCAGAAGACGGAGTACAATTATGCGAGTTTTCACGCTGACACCGTTAGCGTCGATACGTAGAGGATATCAACGTCATATTCATTTCAGTTTATCTCGACATCAAACTAGACGGCAATCACGCCAGCGAGAGTTGCAAATGCAGTGCGAAGTTAATAACATACACCAGCCGTACCACTGCCGTTCTAGCCAAACTTTCACAGTGGTTTTCTGTGTACCTTCGACTTAGTGAGATACGTGACTTGGGCGAAATAACTCGAACTCGGTTATCTGTAGGAATAGCTCTAACTTGGCGAACTATTCCTGGTAGAATGGAAGAAGAAAGAGTATTTGTGTAAATTTTAGAGAATTTTGGAAAAGAGAGTTTGAATTCTTTATCTTGATTTGAATACAACCTCGGAAAGAGAATGAAAATCGAAATTGATTAATTCCCTTGTTAAACAAATATTCTACCATTAATTATGCTCTCTCTTACAACTATGCTCTGACCTTTATCATAAATTACAGATTTTATCACACACACACTGCGTTATTATCTATAACACAGTAAAGCGTCTAGTGGCTAGTCATTACGTTAATTATTCGTTGAATATGTATAGAGCATGGTCATACAGTGAATCACACGATATGCGAACACTTTGCTTTAAAAGTGCTAGTATGACTCAGATTAATTATCAGTTTTTTTTGAAAACCTACAAGTTCCAAACGTTCAAAACACCTTCTTTCAGGCCTTCTCGTTAATGACTGAATTAGCCACAAAGTCTCAAAGGAGGACATAACTAATTCGACATCACAGCTCACTGCTTCCGTTTAAAATTTTACGGTAACTCTTCTAATTTAGGAGAAAATCGCTACAGAAAATGACAGTTTTGTACTGTAGAAAGTAAACACGCAGTTTATTACTATAATGCGGTATGCTTCGCACCGCATTAAATACAAATACCTTCGAGAATTCCTTTTGATTATGTGTATTATATTTCTAAATAGAAAACTTTCTTTTTATTAGTTTCTGACAAGTAGACATAGACAATGACAAACATTTGAATCAAAATATGTGTAAGAATATATGACTCTCGTGTATGTGTTCTTTAAATTCATTGCACTTAGGTGGCTTATTTAGATTATTTGTTGCCTATCATTACTGTATATTTTTACAAGTATATTGTGAAGTAGAAGATCTCTGTGCAGAAAAAATGTTTTGCAATGGATATCTAATTTCAGGAGGTTTGTTTTTGTAATACAAAACAAATTTTGACTTTAATTGACATATTCATGAAATAAACAAACAAAAGAACATAGTTCTGAAAAAGAGGCTTTTTTATGCACTACACTCTGAAAAAAAATGCGACTTAATGAGCCTTATTCTGTGAAAATAAGACACATTAATGCGACTTAATTTGATCCTAAGTCGCATTTTTTTAAGAGTGTACATTTGATCAAATAATTATATTACCCACCGTGTCTTGTAAAGAGTAATCACCAATATTTAAAGATAATTCTGTTCTATAACGTTGAGATAATTCTCCATTTACTGAAATCAACTGAGCATTGGACATTTGCTTTTAAATCATAAAATAAAATTTCGAGAAAAAATATAGTTTTAAATGAGTTGAGTAGAAGAACTTTTGACGTAGGTCAAATTTGATCAATATTGAACAATATATAATAGAAATCGATTAAACATATGCACGATAAAAGAATTGTATAAATTATGTTCAAGTTAAAAGTTAGATTTACTGTCACATCCTATTAATTATTAAATATCATTATCTTTTCTGGCCACAAAAGAGCTCTCTTCTCTCTGTTGCTTTATAAAAAATATTTTATTATCAATAGCACGTATTATCAATGAACGGTAAAGATAGAATAATCGTAATAATAAAACAATTGAAAAATTGATCAGATAGATCCAATCTATACGATTATTTGACGTAAAACGTACTGTATAAAATTTTTTTTTTTTTTGCTTTTATCTCTCTATTATATGTGACTACTATTACTATTCAGAATATGTTCAGAAATCAGAAATATATGCCCGAAAAAAGTACATATAAAGAATAGTTTCCTCTTCATTTATATATGTATAAAGTACAACAATACATCATAGTATTCCGTTTTTTTTTTTTCTTTTTTTCTTTTATGTCCTAAAGCTGCTCTTTGTTACACTCACATACACACAAATCATGTTGATGATAGTAGAGTCTTGCAACAATTTCATTTTTTTAATTATAGAATGTACATATTTCTATGTCAAATATAAAACAAATAAAACTAGAAAATGGATGAAGATTTAATATCGTTTATAAAATATTCATAAAAAAGAAAATTTTTTAACATAAGTTTTAACAAGTAGAAAGAAACAAAACCATCATCGAAATATATCTTATATCTCCATCAGATGACAATAGATCTTTCTATTACAAGTTCATCTTCATTAAGTATAATTCTATAAAGACAAAATTTCATTAAATTATTTTATTTATTTCTCATTCTATTATGTTTATATTGATAAAATATTATTGTGATGATGTTATAAAATAAAAATAAGAGTAGACTATGTCTTCTTTTGTTTCGTTTCTTAACGTGTTACTTAAATATGATTGAACAATTATCTGATATAATAGAACTTATACCAATGTTCAATCAATCATTGAAATACGTGAAAAGACAGGAAGAAGGTAAATGTGTGACAAAACTTTATTCACATGATATACAATGAACTTGATAGAAGAAAATGATGGCTCGTTCACTTTTTTTTTTCTTTCTTATTCACTCATTAATGGAGACAGATTAAGAAAAAATAAATCGACAAACATGTAAAAAATATTTTCGAACAAAAGGTGTAGTAGTATCCCATTTTAAAGACAATTTTATTCTCTTTACTAAAAAATAGTAAGATTATATTGTTTTTGTTATAAAAACCTTCTCTATCACATCTCTCTTTCAATGTAGAAGACAAGATATACACGTAGACAGATTAATGTTCTATTAACCGAATTTTTATATCTTAAATGTGATAAATATATGTAAATGGAACTGTCTCTGTTAATGTATAGCCACAATAGATGAATAAAAAAGAATGACAATACCACTTCAATACACAAAAGAAACAAGGACAATAATTTATTCTATAAGAAGTATACGGGACTCTACCAAAGTAAGATTACTCTTGGATGATCTCGAGAACCATGATGACTAGTAACTTCAATTTCTATGTGACTATAGCTCTAACTAAATGCTCATCATCGAACAAGTTTCTGTCTATTGGCTGTACTAGATGATTCGTGAATTAATAAGAATTTTTTTGCAGTGAAATGCTAATAACTTTTGATTCATGGTGAATGAACACTTTACTTTTCTTTCAAAAATGAAACCATGCGACTATCTTGTATTAATTTGTTGGCCGTTGATATTTACTGAAATGACTTTATTTTCGATTGTATTCTAGAAGAAGAAAACTTAGATTACATATGACTATGTTATTGTATGATTAATGTTTATAAGTGTCTATGATGGAATCATAGTAGTACTACTGGAGTAGAGACATTTTAAAGTGTCTCATACACTGATCAGTTTTCTCATTTTATGCGAACATTTAATTTTTTCTTATTAAAAACAATTATCTAAACAAAATTAAATTTATCTATCATTTCTAGTCTATATGCTGTATGGTGATTGCGGAAATTGAAGTCATTAGTCGTCATGGTTCTCGAAATTACCCAGTAGTAATCTTACTTTAATGAATTTTTGTATTTTTTTCGTAATAACATATTGCTATTTCTTTCTTCTTGAGCTTAACCGGAAAAATTTGGCAGTTAAAAGAATAGCCGTTGTTAATCCTTATCTTTCTTATTAGTATCGCAGTGTGTATCGAAGCGGACATTTAGCCCAAAATCGAAAGTGCGTGTTTTCACGATTTCAATGTGGATAAATATACTTCAATAAACGGGCTATCTGAGCGTTAAAAGTTTTGTTGCTAAGGTTCTTTGTAAAACTCTTGACTCAAAACGAGACTGAAAACACAGGCGTGGACGAAAAATGTTTTTTTTAAATTAAATATCTCAAAATCGCTCAAACTTTATCAAAATGTTTATTTACATGCGTTACATCTATTATTCTTGCGCCGAAGTGCGCACTTCGGTACAGGTTTGTCGGCTTTCGATCTATGAACACTTTTAACCAACAGTCAAGGTTATATTCAAAATCAGTGAAAAAAAGCGTATGACATAAACATTTTTAAACAAAAAACTTTTTATAAAAAATTGGGGCAAAGCTACTATCCCTCAAGGATATTTTCGTCAAAAAAAACTTCTTTTGCTCTGAAGTAACTCTCTGAGTGATAGTCACTTATATTCAAACGAAAAAGATTGTTTCTGACCAAAAAAGTGACATGTCCGCCTGGCATGGAAAAAATGCACACTATGCATGGCTAGAGATGTGCACAGACATGAAAATCATACCTGTACCCGATCCAGAAATGTTTTCTTTACCCAGAGCTGACCTTTACTCGAAAACGCAAAAAATAATACATATATGCCGATGACTAAGTTTTTGGACTACATTTAATTATACATCCAGAACAATGGAAATTCCATGTTTCATCTGTTCAGAATAGAAATAGAAATGTGATATTGAATATTTATGCTATTGTCAGTTATATAATCTCACACCGACATTTTCTCGACCGACATCGTCTGAACATATAAAACAAATACTTCACAGAATAATGGATATGTCAGTCCAATACATCTATAATTTGCTTAATATGAATCGAAATGTGTAATCGAAAGCTCGCTTAGTAAATAAATAATTTTTATCGAACAATGATCTTCATAGCAGTTATAAATTTCCTTATCTGATTAATGCCGTCTTACAGAATTAGTGGCATCAGTTTTCTTAGGATAAAATTTAAAAAATCCGACACGTATCCAACCTGCTGGTCGGGTCGGGTTGCACATCTCTAAGCATTGCATTGGCATTTACTTGAATCGGTAATACATTTATTATTTTTCTTCCAACGTTCTCACACAAAAAAGTATTCTTAATAATCATTACGATTCAAAATATCTTAATGTAAAAAATTTGAACTGTACGACTACCCTAAATACCCAGCGTGGTCTTTTTCAATTGCTCACGTGCTAATCTAGCAAATAGGAGAGCACAAGAACAACCAAAAAAGTTCTTTTCTTTTCAAACGGACTTTTCTAGAATGATTAAAAAACAAAAAAAAAAAACATACAACGAAACTACGAAAAAAAAATTACAATAACAAGAATAACAACAACAACAACGCAAGAAATAAACACAAGCAAGTTCTTTTTTATTGTTAGATAAATCCATACAGATACACGTACGCATATATATTGAGATGATATCCAACATTTTGCAATCAAAAGCATAATCTGAATTTGTCTAAATATACACACGTATGCATAGTGTCTCTATTATTGATTCGCCCAACGTCCAACATCCTTTGCTATTTCACCACTACTACCACTCATTTTCCTATTGGGTTTTGCAGCTGACTCAGATGTATCAATAGTATCAGGAGTTTTTGTCGCTTTTTCTTTCCAAAATCTTGTAACCTGTTAAGAAAAATTTAAAGATATATAAAACTGTCTCGTCTGATCAATAATATTTCAATACGAAAGATTTTTACAAATTTCTAAATAAATATTGAGAGAAAAAATAGAATCCCAATTTGTAGTCATTTCAGATATACGATGGACATAGAATTTTACCAGTTTATGAACATGACTTCGAGTATTGATATCTATATTGGCTGTTTCATTATTTGGTGCAATAATATTCTGTGTTTCATATGGTTCAACAATACGCACATTATTGACAACAATATCATTTTTATCCCATGATACAACATCACTCATTCTAAACAATAATCAAAGTACGTTTAATATCAATCTGAATTGTTGTCAATAAAATAACAAAAAAACAAATACATACGTTTTTTTTATTTCTTTAAACAATAATTGCCCATATCTACTAGCATTTGGATTAATTGCTGCTACTTCTTTCGTTTTTTTATCCACATTCTCATTCATTCGTTTTCGTAACTAAATATATAGAAGACAATAAAATAAAATAACATTACAAATTGAATATAAAACTATTCAACCTTATCTAAATCAACTGGAAATAATGGTTCTGGAGCTTCCTCTGCATCCGAAAGCACCGACCACTCAATACAATTATTTAGATTAATAACAGATAATGTTGTTAATTCTTTTTTTGAACCCGGCATACCTGTTTACAAGTAAAAAGTTAAAGAAAAATTTTAAAAAAAGCAAATAATAGTATAAAAATGACTATTTATCTAATGATAAAAAGGATACTTAATGTAATCATATTTGTAGTTGAATCATATGCAATACATTTTCCTGTTCGAACTTCATCATAAATTGTTCGACATTGTATTGTACTATTTATTTTTGGTTGTGTTATTGAACTGGAATGATCAACTGGATCACGATTGCTATTGTTGTTATTGTTAGTATTGTTATCCGATGATGACGCGTCCATTAAGCGCATTTCATCAGTACCATATACTAAATTAATAATATTTTCAATATAAAAGTATAAAAATAAGAAAAATATGTAAATTCAAGGACATAAAACTCTTTTCATAAATGTGACAAAAATATCATATCAGTATAAATGCTCACATTTATTGATTTGATATTTCTAATATCTACCACGTAACATTTTAATGGCTCTAAACCCTCATTGGTTTGATACTTATCAAATAAGCTTAATAAATTATCTAGAGAAAAAGAGTATTAAAACAATGTGAATTAGAAAAAAGTGAGTAGAGATTTTTTAGAGGACATTTTTAACAAATTGAGGCTTTCAATAAACAATATTACATAATTAATAAGTTATGACAAACTATTTGAGAATTTCCAATGATCAGAGCATAGTTAGACTTAGAGAATAAATTTACTAATTCTTGTCATTTAATTCACAAACATTAAAAAAATTGTGCTAAGAAAACGCAAAAAAATGACTAAGAATTAAAATTTTAGGAAAAACAAAACATTTTCAGCACACTAAGAAATATCTGAGAAAAAAACCAGTTGATAAATAGATGTTTTAAAAAAAACACAATAGATAAAAATTTCATCTGGTAGTCACAAAGGTAGATGTGTATGAAAAAAAGAGACAGTAACAACTGACATCAATCTGACCAAACTTTGGAGAAAATATTTGAGATTTAAAAAAAACGACTTGTTATAGCATAATTGATAATCTAAACATGCAAAATTAGAACTAAAAAAATAAAAAAACAAAAAAAAACCTGTATTATGAAAAGTCTTACAAAAAACAACGTTATAAAACTTGTTTAAAAAAAATTACGTAGAAATAACTAAAGATAAGACTAGATATTTACAATAAAAAGGAGAAAAAACTGCATTGTTTAGTTCACTGATTGTTGTTAGCTAATGCAACAGATACTTTATGACCACGATAAGTTGGATTTTGATATTTAACAGTAGCTTGACGATAAATTGGATTTACGCCCTAAAATAACATGAGAATAATAAATTCAGAAACTCAATATTCTTCAATCTTATTAAATTATTTGACTCATTATATATTCTCAAATTTAACTAATTCTATGAAATAACTACTTATAAGTCAAATTATAAACGCTTTTTTTTTTCTACATACAGTTTCCCATTTGGCTTTTTCACGTTCTTTTTCAAATTTTGCAAATTCACGTCGATCATGAAATGTCGCTAATATACGCCAAACAGTTAAACAAAATAGACCAAATAGTAAAATACTTAAAACAATAATAATAATTGTTAGACGAACAGATAAAACTCGATGACAACCTTAAGTAAAAGAAATATAAAAATGAGTTGATACTCATTAAAATTCAATTTGATAACAAACTTTTTGTTTTTTGAACACGTAAAATTAATTGATTACTATCATGATGATATGTATAAAAAAATCGACAATGATCTTTTTCATCATCAAACTGACATAAACGTTTCTCACGATCTTTTTTGGCATCTTCTAAAACAATATAAAAGAAATTAATTTTCAATTTTAATCAGAAAATAAACAAAAATAATATTTACTTTTGCTTTTCACACTATCAACAATATCAATTCGATACGGTTGATTACATAACAAAGCACATTGTTCTGGTGTATATGAGCCACTCTCAAAAACTGTGCACAAAACACATTCACGAGTGTCAGCACAACGATGAGCACAAGTCTAAAGAAAAATGATATTAATTCTAAAAAAAAAGTGAATGTGTTGATGTGAAGGTACTCACAAAGCAATCTTCACACGTAGGTCCTAAAAATTCTGAATCTTTGTGACATATACATTTGCCACATTCACAAACACCTTGATTATTACAAATTGTATCATTTTTTGTTAAACATGTACTGTTATTTGTTGTACATGAACAATCCTCTCCAGTCCATCCTGCATGGCATTTACATCGTTTTCCGCAATCACATTCACCATGATCAGGTCCTAGAAATGTCAAAAAATAATTAACAAAAAGTAAAAAGTTGTAATCTTATAGTAGTACCTGAACAGACAGAATCATTTTTTCTTGGACACGAAAAATCATCACATTCACAATAATCACCATAAATTCGTTGACCACCCTACAAGTGGAAGAATTTATTGATAATGACAAAATCCAGTGGGGAGTTTAATAATGAGGAATTTACAAGCGTTAAATTCTAGTGCACCAGTATAATAAAAAAAACTGTGTAAAAAGCTTCATTCTTATTCATACCTCTTTGAAACATTTGCAACGACCACATAGACATTCGCCACGTCCAGAACATGTTATTTGAGTTCCCGGTCTAAAAAAAACAAAATTTTGTTTAATAATCTTTGGCTTATCAGAGGGTCTATCAATTAAAACGTACTTTTTACATTGTTCAACTTTTGAATCACCTGCACTAGATGCTATATCACATTCACATTCTTTTCCATAAAAGCCTCGTGCACATGTACAAACACCACACTCATAATTCCCATGAAAACTGCATAATGAACTATTTATTTGTTTCGGTGGCTGTAAACAATTGCATGTGCAATTTGTTTGAACGGTAACCGAAATTCGGTCATTTAAACCATGTGTATATATATAAAATGTTATAGCATTACCATTATCTATGCATTTAGTAGCAACTAATTCAACCGAAAAATTAAGCTAAAATTGAGAAAGATAAAGGATGGATTCTATACAGGATATAACATATATTTACAGTGCCGCCAACGCTAACAATACACTCGGGTTTATTTCGTTTGCTTCTACAAAAACACAAAAGAGAAATTTAATTGCTATTAATAAATAAGATAAATAGTGAGATCAATACTTACTCTTGACAATCAGGTGATAATTTAATTGAAAGACCATCAGGTAACTCACTATACATGAGTAATACATTTGACGTAATTTTCTACGATAAAGAGTATACAGTTAGAACGATGTTTCAAAATACTAATACATGACTCTATTACCTTGTAATTTTGTGCTATAAGATTGACAATATTGCTTGAGTCATTTTTCAATTCTCCAACTACAGCGCCATCGATAAGTTCCGTTAATGTTCGATACAATGGTAATTGAGATTGTGTAACAGCAAATATCATATTCACATTTTTTTCGCTTAATTTTGAACTTATTTGACCAATCGATGGATAATCCTATATAACAACAAAATTATGCTAAATTCTAACACATTTTAGCCTCGTATGATTACTCACTTGCTTATCACTATAAGTATACTCGTTATTCAACATATGACATTCTCCATCATTAGGATCAATTATACCAGCTAACTAAAAGTCAAAAGATGGTATATACACTGAGCATGCTCGTTTTTGTATACTTACACGTCCGTCACCTGCATAATGAAAACCCGCATCTGTTGAAAATACAATGAGTTTTCGAGAATCATTACGCCAACCGATAACATTCTAAACAATATGAAGTACAAGTTTCACTATACTACATTCGTTCACTAGATATAGAAGAACGAATTATCTGGTGCCTTACGTCACAAACAATAGCTTGCATAATCGCATCTAATCCTCCTTCTGGTGCGTCGATATTTCCAGAAACGGGTGCTTCACGCACTTGATGCTACAACACAGACAGAAATAAGTAACAGAGTGCGCACACAGCAACAGTTTTATTCCTACCTCAAATTCTTTAACATTCTCTGACAAACTTAAATGATGCTTGAAACCATAAGCTTTGACACAAGCTCCTTGAAAATTCGATGGACATGGTCGCTTTTCACTACAAAAAAAAGATAGGTTGATGCTTTGTGATGACGTTAACTAACTATACTGACGTATTTGGTGCCGGCTGAACAAAGGGTGGAACATTTTTATCCACAAATGAACCAAATCCTAATCGAAAGTTTTTTGTGATTGTTCTCATTTCAGTTGCCAACATTCCACCGAGTTTACTCAATTTATCCTTATCATCAGACATTGAGTGTGATAAATCCATTAGATAATAGAGATCAACCGGATAATCTTCAGCTTGTCGAAATTTCATATGAATTTTTTCGGTATCATCTAATAAAACGGAGATATAAACATAATTTCTTCTATTGAAAACGGTGAAAAGTCGCTAACGTATGCATACTTATTCTAAGATGAACAAAAACAGCTTGTGGCGATAGTTGTACGGGAGAGGGAAAGGGAGAATTTGACCGAGCATTTGATAAGGAATCTGATTTAAGTAATTCATGATAACTACGAAATGTAATCAGTTGTTCTTGTCTACATATTGATTTCAAATTATCGTACACATCACAATGAAACATTGAACCATTGTTCGCTGACGAATTCTGAAAGAAAATCGAGCAACATGAAAAAATATTTGAAAAATAACTTTTGAAATGTAATGAAACTAACCGTTGAAAAGTCATGTGTACACCATGCACACTTATTTGACAAAGCTAAACAACTGGCACACGTATCTTTCGAATTACATTGTTCTAAATTGAAAAAATAATACATTCGAGGTCATAAAGTAGTCTCAATGAAATCTCAAACTTATACCTAAACAAATCACATAATTCCATAACAATAACAAAACGACTACTGGTAGAGGGTGGTAAACCCAAAGCGATTTTTGAAACGGAAGGTACGCCATAGAGAAGAATCATCGACTTTTCCTCAGAATCATATGAGTTGTAGTATCAAGATGGTCTAAAAACACAATATACAAGAGTAAGGATATAAGACAGCCTCTAAATCGTATAATAGAAAAGCAGGCATGAAAACCTTGAGAAATAGGCTAAAGGGGGATTCAGGACAAATGGCAAGTTCAAATCGTTAGAATCTACATAAAAATAAAAATATTACACTGATTCTAGAATCTTGCTTCTAACTTTGATCCTACTATATCTCGATCTGAAGAGTAGCCATTTTTTTTTTATCTTTTAACCTTTGCCATTTATTTTTCCTTTTGAGTAAAGAGGGAGGGGTCCTTATGATCAGTATATGATTGAAAATTTTTTTCTCGAATCAAAGTGGACTTACATTTAGCGACATAATTAAGACTTACTATGTAATAATCTATTTCAAGTGTCTGAAGCGTTCTCTATTCTACTTAGCGTGTCTCTCCAAAATAAGCTCGAGCTCAAACTCTGTCAGATGACACTAGCATAAGGCAGACATTATCGCTACATTGGAACTCATTGATTCCCCAGATTCCCATGGTTTGTTACAGTTATCGTATGACGATTAAATACGATTAAATACGGACCGTTTATGCACCGTATTTTACCGTAAACCAGGCCTGTGTTTTACGACCGTATTTACGGCGTACCGTATAAGGCGTGTTTACGGCTTAAATAAGATCATCGTATATAGCCGTATATACACTAATAACCGTAAGCATACCGTATTTCTACCATATATAGGCGCTTCACGGTCTGGAATTATTCGAACGATAGCCTTACTTTCACCTAATTAATATTAGTTTTATTGTCAGATCTTTGCGCAGTAACGTTTAAATACGCAGCGTAAGAGTATTAGTGCATCTCTGCTCAATCGGCGTATTGAGATGTTTGGGATATCTGAGATGTTCGAGATGTTTGCTCAATCGGCGTAGCCGGCTCAGTCAGATGTTTGGGATATCTGCGATATTTGAGATATTTGCGCAATCTGCGTAATATGGGTATTGAGATGTTTGGGATATCTGAGATATTTCAGATATTTCCTTAATCTGCGTGATACGCGTAATAAGATCTTTAGGATATCTGCGATTTTTGACATATTTGGGATATTTGCTGAATCGGCGCGACGGGCGTATTGAGGTGATTGGGATATCTGATACATTTGTGATTTTTGAGATATTTGCTCGATCGCCGGAGCCGGCGTATTCAGATGTTTGGGTCAGCTGAGATTTTTGAGATATTTGGTCAATCTGTGTAATACGCGTATTGAGTTATTATTATTGTTATCCTGTGCTAGAATTGCATTACAACAATAAATAATAATAGCAGTTGAAAAGAAAATTCTGATGAACTATGCAGAAACTAATGATGATAAAGTGGCAGTGAAAAACACAGAGATGTCATGGATAAAGAAAAGATGATAATCACAATTTACACGCATCTTGAAGCTTGACATGAAAAGGAAAAAGAATAACGGAATTATCTGAGATAATTTAAGAATCAAATATCCATTTCTAGAATGAAGAGTTCTAAATGCTCTCATTGTATTCTCTTCTTGAATAAAAATACGTTGTATTAGGTTAAGGAATACAATGACTTTTGCAGTTGCGTGAAATTTCATCTTTTTATTAAAATTTTAAGAAATTAAATGTTTTGTGAATTCGTGAGAATGCCGTGTTGTTGAAAAAGAGATAAAGGGATAACGGGCCAAAGCCGTGCATCCCATCAAGGTTTTCCAGAAATATTTCAATCGGGCAAGTTTTCCGTCGCGTCAAGCATTCGAGTGGGCAATTTTCTGCAACTTCTGAAGAAGGAGAGACAAAGTCGCCACTTATAATACGAACAGCAAGACATTGAAGTGTATTTAAGGGCTCTAAATGGGTAGAATAGGAGTTATCGTAGACAATTGCTCCATACTCAAAGACAGGTCTTACACAAGTCTCACAGGATGTTTTTTTCAATTTGGCAAGGGTATCTCGAAAAGTCCGACGTGTCACACCCAGCATTCGTCTGCATTTCATCGCGACTTTTTCAATGTGCCTAGCCCATTTTAGGTCATGAGAAATGTAGAGCCCAAGCAGCTTGATCTCACTCCCCCGCCCAATGGAAATTTCTATCTTGATAATAGCTGGTGATTGAGAAATAGGCCTACGATCGAAAATCATCCACTGACACTTATCAACATTCAGCTTGACAAGCATCTTTTCACACCAAGTGGGAATGCTAGTTACTTCGGCTCGAAAGGAATCCAGGCTATTATCAGATGGAAGAGACACGGCACTATGGTAGTAGGCTTGAGGCATTCTGCAGTGTCATTTATGAATATCAAAAAGAGCAAGGGGCCCAAATTCTATTCTTGTGGAACGCCAGATGTTACTAATGTTGCTTGGGAAAGGTGGTTGTTAGTTTTTACCATTTGAGTTCGCCCATTTAGATAAGCCGACTTTTCTATTTCAATAGAACCACCATTAAACGAGCTTCAAAAGTACGTTTTTCTTTTTCTTTTACTTTGCTTCATAACTGAGAAAAGTCATTTTTTTCTATATCAGAGGTGAAAAAGTCGGAATTCTGCCTGTACTTTGCATTTTTCTCCACGAAAGTTAAGCTTTTATGCAATAAAAATATCATATTCGAAACCAGCGTCGAAAACTGAGTCGAATGATATACTTGTTTTAAACCTTTCCGACCATCTTATTTTTTCTTGAATTTTGACATGGAAAAATTACTCAGATTTTCTCGACAAAATGAAAATCAACGAAAATTTGCGAAATATATATCATTCGACTCAGTTTTCGAATATGATATTTTTATTGCATAAAAGGCTAACTTTCGTGGAGAAAAATGCAAAGTTCGCCAGAGGCATTTTTTGTGAAAAACCGGTTTTTGCCTGTTAGTAGCAAAAATTAAAATCCATATATCTCGATTAGATCTCATGCCGACTCAGGCAAATTTTCAGGAAACACTCAGGACAGCTCATAAAGCATAATCGAAGACGAAAAAGGTGAATTTCAGCCGGGCATTGGTTTAAGCTTTTTCAGAAGGTTTCTGAAAAACCTCAAAGCATCAGTGTTCTGCTGGACCACTTTTTCGGCGTGATCAACAATATATGGCACCTTTTAACTGTTTCCTGAAAATTTGCTTGAGTCAGCATGAGATTTGATCGAGATATAAGGATTTTAATTTTTGCTAATAACAGGCGAAAAATCGGTTTTTCACAAAAATGCCTCTGGCGAAGTTATAGTCATTTCTACATAAAAACAAATGTTGCCACTATGCTCAGCGTAGTCGATTAACTATATTCCATGGCATTTCGAGATTCCCAGAGATGTCTGCTCGGAGATAGACACGCGTTCGCGGAAATCCAGCTCTGTCCGAACGACGATAGCTGGAGAGCCAGGACTTGCATAATTTTGCAGAGTAACATCCGGACTATCTACGCATGCAAAAAAATTACTAACATTGTACGTTAGTTTTTTGAGAACGGTTTTTCAAAGAACCACCTGGAAAACCCCTCAAGATCCAACGAAAAGTGTTTTTCTGCTATAGTTCTATGTGTCCCGGACTTAGCTACAAACTGACGAAAACCGTTTCTCGAAAGTTTTCCATACGTGGTTCTCTCAATTGTCAACCAGACAGACAGCAATATGATACAGTAATTATTGAACACTCTATCATTTCCATCCTTGAACAGTGCCATGACATAACCTGACTTCATACAATGTCATTCAATAATTGAGCTGTTTTCTGGTCATGATAGATCAACGCAGAGTTGAAATTTTTACTGCCATACTTCAACGATAAGGTGTATTGCACCAAACGCCAACGAAGTTTCTGAAGCTGATTTAAAGAAGATCATTCAAACAAAAATAAGGTGCAGCTATTTCAGAAATCGAGTGCAATTTATTTTTGCCTTTTTGATACATATTCTGATACATTCTCTTTAGTTTCATAGAGAAAAGTGATCAAAAGTTCCCTAGGCATAGCCATGACCTATGGAAAAGTGTAGTATTAAACTTATAAAACCTGCTGTCAGGCTTCGTTAAGTTTCCTATTAACAGATATTTTAGAGTTTTTCAAGAATTATTTTTCTATATCAAGCTTTCCCATAACTTCATATTAGATTTTGGAGAAAATCGTTTTTGTTAAGCACCGATATGCTTTATGTACCTCCCCAGAAAAGTTAATTTAAAAAGCCTTCATAAGGTTATAATGGTGCATATGCACTTCAAAATGTGTAAAATCGTTCTCTACAAAATTTGATCATAACTAAGTCAAAAAAGCCGTGGGCCAAAATCAAGAAAAAGCGAGCTCCCTCCTTTTCTAGAAAACCTTTGAAAACCCTCTAGAGATCTTGTAAGTATTTCCATCGAATCTCCATCATTTCAAACGTATTTGAGTCGATTAGAATTAAATTTGAGACGAAAATACGAAAGTCAGTCAAAAAAGACCTGTCCATTTTTTCTCTCAGTTCCAGTGAAAGCCGTTTTTCTCAGCAACGAAGAGAAAAAACGCCACACGTACAAACAAATAACACCTCATAATCGGCACATTGAACTATTCTTAGAAAATTGTAGACCGGAATAAATAGAAAAATTTTACTGTTTTATCTCGAGATGCAAAACATTCATAGGCAAATAAACATCCTTTCTAAGATGATTTTTAATCTTGAATTTCTATTCAATACACTTTACTACAATTAGAACCATTTTATTTGCAATTCAAAATAGAAAAATATAAAGATAAATGGTACAAAGAGACAATCTTTTTATTATAAGTAAATATCGTTTTTTATGCTGATTATAGCATTTAGACATACACAAACATGACAATAAATAAGAACAAAAAGAAAAAGAAAATACATTCACTCTCTTCTAATTGAAATGATCTTGAAAATTATCGTTAGTCTCAAATTCCATCTTTTCATCATAGTCAGTTTCATTTGTAATTGGTTCTATCTTAATTGTTTTCACTACTAAAAGATGTTCATATTTTTTCTTTAGTTCTTTTGCTTGCTCGGATATATCGTGATAATTTTTTTCATGAATCATTTCATCGAGATTAAATCGAATACAATCACAAATTGTGTCGTTCAAATAAGATTGATATAATTCAAATATAATCGATAAAAATTTGATTGTTTCACGTTTTAATGTCGTGTATTTTGTTCGTGGTCCTAGATTACATACTTGTTCAATTAGTCTATGGTCACGAAAATAATGTTCATCAATAGAATATTGATCGTTAGAACATATCAATAATAATCTATTTAACGATTGAATAATTATTATTTGATTTTGCCACGTGGATTTATTTAATAAATCAGAGAGAAGATCAAATGTCAACAGAAAATAAGTTCGTTTTTGATCATTATCCTTTGGCCAAAATTTTGGGATGGATTCTATCAACATACGATTATATTTATCACTTATCAGTGGATCTTCTTCATCCTCCTTGTCATTAATTGATCCATCATCATTTAATTCCTATAAATAAACGAAATACATCATTAATCGTGTAATTGTGATTAGCTATAAGCAATGGCGAGTTTCTCTCTATAAAAGCTTCATGGTGCGTTCAGCTCTGTAAAAGATGTTCACGTTATCTACATGAGAGTCAAAATCTGACTTAGTTCAGAGGTTATTGTATCAGGAAAAAGATGTGTTGATTGTTGACATGCGTCAGTTATATATACAATAATGCTGATATCAGTTATATAACTGATATCAGCGTCTCTAGAAAAAATTGTAACATTCCAAGCTGCAAAACGTCTCATTTTTGTAGAAAAACGTTTGTTCTATATATTTTGTTATAAGAAAAAAGGTTCAAACGTAATTATGACATAAATATGAGCAATACCATAACTTTACATGATAACTGATCAACAGTTGTATAACTGCTAGTATCTCTATAGAAAGTTGTTAAAAAAATGTCCTCTTTTATTTTTTAATTCTTTTTTTTACTGCAAATAGATGGAACAAACATTTCTCTACAAAAATGAGACGTTTCGCAAGTCGAAGCAATCTCTGATAATCGCGTTATTACAATTTTCTTGGATGTATCGTAAAGCAGTTAGAAGTAACTGGTTCATAACTGATGCATACCTAGTCAATTCATTCTTTTGAATGAAAAACAATTGTCATATTCATACCTGTTTAAATGCTTTCTCAAACCACGTCCAAAACAAAGCATAAACATTAAATTGATAGTCGTCAGCCAATGATGCAAGTAATTCTATAGCTACTGTTCGGTAAGGTAATGCTTCTTTTTTACATTCTTTCAAAATTTGTTCATATATACGATTGACTAAATCTACACGCGTTTTCAACACGATTCTACACAAAAGATGGCAAAAAACAAATGATTCAACTAAAGTTGTATATTATTGTCTACTACATACTTGCAATTTGAACACATTGATTCTATGGCACGAAGGAAGTTTTCCTGTAATAGAATGAAAGTGTGTGTATTAAACAAATTCACAACAATATTAGAGCTCTAGTATTGAAATCTTAAACTTTTATTGATTTCTAAAGTTTTTAAAAAATGAAATAGGTGATAGTATACATACTTTTCCCTCGTATATTCTTCCGTACAAGGCTTTTAATACAACATCCACTAATAATTCGACATGCTCTTCTTTCAATGATGATTTCAATGTATCACAGATGGTTTTTATCGCTTTTGCTCCTTTAATTTTCATTGAATAGGAAGTTAATCCAATAGCCCTTTCTATATTTTTAATAATATCATTAATATATTTTTGTATTCCACTAGCTGTACTACCCGTATGTTCTAACCATAAATCTTGCCAGATTTTTTCTTCTTTATTTGTTGTTGCACTTATATCATCATCATCATCATTATTCACTAATTTATTTTCAGTTTCCCTTGATTTTTGTTGATGCATGGCTAAAAATATCAATGGTAAAATTTTATCTCCATATTCAGTTAACATATCATGATTATATTGAGCAATGGAATTTAATGTCAGCGCACAAACATACTGATATTCTTGACCTTGTTCAATTGTAAAATACCATGAACAAAGTTTAACGAATAAATTTTCAATACTTGATGGTTTAGCGATTCGAACAATTGTTCCCAAAACATTTGAATAAGTTTTTCTTAATGTTCGATTATGATTTGTACTCATCGATGTGACAACAGCTGCCATCCATTTACCAACATACTTGACGCATACAGAAGGATATAGTGTCGATAATGTAACAAAATATTGACCAATACAACATTTTGTTGTTAAACCAACATTATGTTTAATTGTATCAATTAATTTTGGTGACAATTCATCTAAAATTGTTTCATCAACAAAATTTTTTGTACACAAATCTATAGCGTCCATCATTGGTGATGCTTTAGCACATAGAATACGAGCAATATCAATTTGTTCTTTCATATCATTTGATGATAATTTCATACTCAGAGTATTAAACGTATCTGGTTCACACTGAGATAATGTTTCAAATAAAGCAGTTATAATTAATGTACAATAGGGTTTTAATGTTTGATGATCACCTGACCGAACAAATTCAATTATTGTATTTAAACAAAATTTTTGAATATCTTCATTTTTATTGTATAAACCTTCCTTTAATAAAATTGGTAATATTTGTTCCAAAACACACTGTCCACGACTTTTATTATCATTTATCGGATTTGTTTCATCACTTTGTTGACTATGACAAAAAACAACTCGAATTGATACATGCGTTTGGATTCAGAGATTAATCAGTTATTCCAACCCGTAACTAGTATGTTTAGCAAAAAAAAGTAAGTATTCTGCTTACGAGAGATCTTTTCCAAATGTGAAACTTAAACTGAATCGCCAGAAAACAGTTTCCGAAAGATCCACTTATGAGGAAACGTTCACAACTGTCAAATGGCTTTCGAGCCGAAACCTAGTGGACTATAAGTAGTCGACCATGTTGATTCCGAATATCAACATGAGACAGGCTGCTAACCTACCAGAGACTGATTTTCTAGAAACTTCAAAAAATCTCCGAAACTTTTCTTAATAAATCATGTCTGTAGTTGTGCGAATTTAAAAACTGATTAAAATTAGACATCCCTCAGCTCTACACGACCTTTCTTTCTTTGCAAAGTTATAGAATCTACACGAAAAGCCCTAAATATTCATTGTCACCTCAGAGATATAGAAAGAAAAAGGAAAAAAGAATTTAGGACTCTTCTTGTAAATTGTATAATTTTGCAAAGAAAGGTCGTGTCGAGCTGGGGGATGTCTCATTTTAATCAGAATTTTGTGTGGTACAAGCATGACGTATTAAGAAAAGTTTTGGAGATGTTCTGAAGTTTCTGGAAAACTAGTTTTCTGAAAAACCAGTCACTGGAGGCTTAGCAGTCTGTCTCATGTTGGTATTCGGAATCAGCATGGTCGACTAACTATAGTCCACTAGGTTTCGGCCTAAAGCGATTTAACAGTTGGGAACGTTCCCTCCTTAGAAAAATCGCATTGGTCGAAATGAAAAACATATACATGATCAGCATAAAAAATAACCTATTATTCAAGTAGACTTCAAGGGAAAAGTAGGCGGACATTTGGAAAAGGTCTCTCGTCAGTTTAGTTATGAGCTACATAGCAGAATGAACATCAAAAAAGATATTGTGTACTTGCTATCGCTTTATTCAAACATCATCTCAAATACACACTATTTTACCTGTTTGCCGTTGTTACAGTTGTATCACAAACAGTTAATAAGCAGTTTTGTTTAAATGTATTTATAGTTTGTAATGCTGATTTTCTGACCGATTCTTTTGTATCATCGCACAATAATAATAAACGATGAAATAATTCTCCAAATATTTTTAAATAATTATAACTATCGATTAATTTTCGATTATGTGTTCGACAAAGATTTAGTAATGCTGAACAACAACTTTCTCTTATTCTCCAACGTGATGATAATAATTGTTCATAAATTTCTTTAAATATAAATGCAAAATATTTATCAATAATCTGTTGCTGCTTGTGCTTTTGTTGTTGATCGTCACTTAAAAATAATTTATTCCATATTCGTTGAATAGACGTTTGAACACGTGGATTTGGATCAAATGTAAGTCGATACAATTTGGATATAATCAAATCTATATGACATAAGATATGATCTTTCGCTTGTGTTTCATATTCGTTAAAATGAAATAAATGGGCATAGCGACTCGTTTGCCAAATGGAATTATCATGAGCTAAATAGAATAACATGATCCGTTCAATTGATGCACATAAACAGGTACTCTCAAAATCAAAAGCTAACATTTTTTTCAAAAGGCTTCTAATCGTTACTTAATGTCTGTAACTATTACTATTCATGCACTCTCTAACATACCTAAATATAGAAATGAATAAAATAATTCGGCTTTGTTAGTTATTTGTTGTTGTATAATTGAACATAGTTCTTTGTAAACAACTAATGTTGTTTGTGGTGCTGTTACTGTTGTATTTGTTTTTTCTTTCTTATTTGTTTCATCTTCTTCTTCTTTAGTCTTTATATCATATTCATAGGTAAGTGTTTGACGTGCTGATGAATACGATGTACTTTTATCGGTGAAATTTTCAAACAAATTTTGATTGAATTTTTGTCTCAATTGATCATTGTGTATTATTTCATGACTATAAATTAAACATTTCGATGATAATTCTTGATTTAATTCATCAGAATCAAGCAAACCATAAATTAAATTTTTCTGTAGTTCTAAAATATATTTTTCAAATAATAAACGATGATATTTCTCACTATCTAAATATGGTCGACGACAATAGATTAAAAATGAGAGAAGCCAAACCAATGCAGCTTGACGTGAATGAGGATTGTCTATATCACTCGAATAATGTAAAATGTGATCAAATAAATATTGAATTAATTCTTCACGCTGTTTACTATCATCGATTTCTATTACTTGTTTTTCATCCAGTAATAAATAAGGATCAGACAAAATTGGTGACTCATCATTCAACAGACAACACACAAGAGCATCTCCTACACAAGACAAAAATACATAAAATTAGTTTCGAGTTTCGACAAATTTTACTTGTTAGCTGCACTGTACAACCGAAAATGATGCAGTGTGTTGAACAACCACTAACAGAGAGCTGACAACTTTTCTACTTGATTTTTAACTATTTTATTAACTATTTGATATTTTAAGTTCGACTTTGTCTGTCAACCGCTTGTTAGGCGTAGAAACGGTCAAAAAATGCTTTTGTGGTGTTGTACGTATATATTGTTCAACTTACGAGGGAACGTTCCCAACTGTCAAATCGCTTTCGGGTCGAAATCTAGTGGACTATAGGTAGTCGACCATGCTGATTTCGAATATCAATATGAAACGTGCTGCTAGGCCTCCAAAGACTGGTTTGTTACAAAACTAGTTTTCCAGAAACTCCAGAAAATCTCCGAAACTTTTCTTAATGCGTCATGCTTGTACCACACAAAATTCTGATTAAAATGAGACATCCCCCAGCTCGACACGACCTTTCTTTGCAAAGTTATACAATTTACAAGAAGAGTCCTAAATTCTTTTTTTTCCTTTTTCTTTCTATATCTGTGAGCTGACAATGAATATTTAGGGCTTTTCTTGTAGATTCTATAACTTTGCAAAGAAAGGTCGTGTAGAGCTGAGGGATGTCTAATTTTAATCAGTTTTTAAATTCGCACAACTACAGACATGACTTATTAAGAAAAGTTTCGGAGATTTTCTGGAGTTTCTGGAAAACCAGCCCCTGGAGGTCTAGCAACACATCTCATGTTGATATTCGGAATCAGCATAGTCGACTACCTATAGTCCACTAGGTTTCGACCCGAAAGCGATTTATCAGTTTGGAACGTTCCCTCGTTAGTTAAGAAAAGAAGTTACAAAAAGGTCATATTGAAGACTACGCATGTAGTAAGAGTCAGTGCCGATTGATAACATTAAAGATAAATTTATTCGGTACTTTTTACCTATATTTAAGTGAAGTTCAATTTGTTTCGTATCAATAATTGACTGTATTAATATATCGATTATCGGTTTTCTATGCTGTTTATAGCATAGGGATAAATAGCCGAGTGTTTGTATAGATTTTTCTTTCAATTTATTTGTTTCATTAATACTGGATATTTTACGTTTAAATTGGTCAAAGATTGATGATAAATATTTTTCATCAGTTTCACCGAATAAACGCATTCGTGCCATCTGTCCTATGGCAACAATAATTGCCAACTGATATTGTTGTTGATCATTCGTTAACGATATAAACGTTTTTAAAAAATAATCTTTGGTACGTTTAATGTATTCTTGAATTGGTAGTGATTGTTTACGAAAATAAATTAGATAAGAACAAATATATCCAAGTGCCAATATGGCACCTTCACGTTGTTCAAAACGTTGATGTGAATTTGTAGCATATTTAAATAATTCATCTAATTGTATATCTGATTGTTGAGCAAATATGTAGGCATACATTACTGACGAATAAAAACGAGTATCATCACGTGTAGAATATAAACATAACTGGCGAAATGAACTTAAATTATCACTGCAAAATTTGAGTAAATTTTCATTTTGTTTCAAATGATAAGCAATAAGAATTGATTCAAATAGATAATAAGTCGATAAACAATCGTGTACAACTACAACATAGTCTAATAATAACTGAATATAATTGTACCATTGGACCGTTACTGTGTTTTGTTGATCATTATTTACTTTGTCATAAATCTTTATTAACTGTTCTTCATATTTCCACAATGGTGTCGATTTTTCATGTAAATTTTCTTGAATTAAACAACGATGTAGATAATAAATTATTTCTTGATATGTCTTTGGATGATAAACTAATTGTTGAGTACCTAATAATAGAAGAATTATCATCGTATTATTATATTATTATTATTCATAAAATTACTTTACCAATTGTGTATTGTCCATTAGCATTTGAAATAACTAATTTTAATAAATCAAAAAAATTTGGATATTGATTATTACTGTCATCTAATAAACTTTTCCTTGCTAATGATCTTATATCTTCATTTTGATCACTGCAAGTCATTAACAAAATAAAACGTGATGCACAATCATTTGATGGAAACACATTTTGAACATAATTAACCGCTGCTTGACGACATTGTGGATAATTAGCGAGATTAACTTGTTCTGTTAATAATTGTTGCAATATATGTTTATTAGCAACATTTGTTTGTTTTTGAGAATAGGATAACATACTGAAAAAAGAAGAAAATAAAAGTTTTACAGCATAATAGCATGTACGTTTATCTTACCTTAGTGCTTCTTGAATATGTAAACAGCATTCGTTATCTTCGGTTTGTAATGCTTGAAAAAATAATTGAGTTAAACGTATTTCATTACATAACAATTGAGGTAAACGATAGGCTAATTTTCCAATTAGAACATAACTTAATGATCGTAATCGAGAGGAATCTGGAGTTTTTGCTACTTCGGTATTTAAAAGTTTTTCTAATGCATACAATATCAATTTGGAAACAGATGATAAACTTTCTTGTTCAGCACTAAAATTAAAATTATATTTGATATCTTACAGTAAAATTATTAGGATGAACAATATTTAACAATAAGTCTTCTTCGGATTTACGGCTTTGATCTGAACTCCAGATGTTTGTACATGAGACACGAACGTTGCAAACGTTCTATCAAGTTCAAAACAGACAACTTCAGACAATTTTTCAACTGATTTAGACGAAATACTGACTTCTTGGAAAGACGTTACAAATGAGACAAAAGAAATATTATACCACCTTACTTTTGTAAAATATTCTGAAGAAATTGTAATGCATAATATTTTATTCGTGCATTCGTTGACGTTCCAAACAAACTTTCATAAACAATCTAAAATGTCAAAAACTGTTCACTTTTTTTAGTTAAAGCCTTCTCTTTTACCTGAATAGCATGTGGAAAGAGAGAAGATGCCGCTCTCGATCTTAATAAATATGGGAATAATTTTAATCTCAAACGTGTATTTGATGGATGACGATTCATATCATTTGGCTAGAATATTTAAAACAAAATTACAGTGATGAATTGAGCTTCCTAAACAAAGAATACTAAATATACTTGTGGATTTTTCATTGTTTTAGCTGAACCCAAAAAAAATTCGAATAATTTTTGTACATGTTGTTTTGCGTTCCAATCAATGGCAACGTTAATACGTTTAATATCATGTTCAGCAGCCAATACAACCCTTAATTCATAATGAGACAATTAGAATGTATTGGTCTAAATAAAGATAAAATTAATCTCATATGCTTTTTTTTGTCCCAATAAAAAAACTAAATCTACTCACGTGTAACGAGAGTCGGCTGTGGCTAAAACAAAATGAAATGCCATTTCATCTTCTAAATAAACATTTGACATAAGAAATTTGAGTATGCCAGCTTTGAGCTAAAAAAAATTAGAAAATAATGAATAAGAATGCACTAATCAAAAGATATAAACATACTTTCTCGACGACAACCAAGTCTGTTGTTTGAATAGCATCTGTTATTCGTTTATATAACTGTTCATTTAAACATGGATACGGCTCTTTAACTATGTCTTTCGTTTGGTCTTCTCCTGCTGTTCCCAAAATATCTTCGGATAGATCCATTTCTGTCGATGGTTGTTCTACTGTTGTTGATTGCTGCTGTAGAGGTTGAGAGTTTCGCGGAGTACGTAATACTGTGAAAGGGGCAGATACGTTAGTTTTTGTATCTTCAAATCTAAATGTAGAAATTTATCTCTATCATACAACTACGATTATACGTTCAATGGCAATACAAACTTATAGGGCATCAATAAAACATTGAGTAAAAATGTTAAGAATGTATGACGAATAGTTGGTTGATCAACGAGACCATATTTTGTTTTATTCACATTGTCATTTGGTATTAATCTGAGATTTTGAATGCCATATACGACCAAGCCCATTAAACTAGAAGAGAAGAAGAAAAAACCTCGTCGTGCGATTGCTAATGAAAATTAGACTATCTCAATGCTTCATAAATACGTACAGTTCTTGATGTGGTATCGATCGTTCTTTTAATGCTTGCAATAACAAAGGAACTAATTTTGCTTGAACATCCACCGACAATCTCATATACCCAAGTTTGATGTACATGATGGAAAAATTCTAAATAAAAACATAAATTGAATTGCACTGATATGAAACAGCCATGATGTAGAATCATTCTGATCTCTCTAACAGCACGAACAGTTTACCCTTTCTTTTCTAAATGAGCAACAGCCACATACGATTTCTTCAACGTATAGTTCACATATGAGAAGCATGAGTAGAGAACATACCGAAGCAAATGGTGAGCAATTTGTTGTTGTTGTAAAAATTTCGAGTAAACTTTGCACAGGTATTTGAATTTCTGGACGACTTTTTATACGTTTGTTTACGTGCAAAAAAATTTCTAATGCCTAAATGGATAATTTCAATGGACTATTGGCAGCAATAAAATACTGGAAGAAAAAATCTACCTTTTTTCGAAAATCATCTGTTTGATTTTCTATACTTCGAATTAATAATGGTAGAAATTTTTCTATAATTGATTGAAATCCATAATCATCTGCAGTTGATATTAGTTGAATAAAAGAACGATTCAAAGATGCTAAATAAAATAACACAATGAAAATCGTCTATTTGATGCGTATAGAGAAAAAAATACTTGTATTTAGGAGTTCTTCTTTATCCGTCATTTTTAAACTATGATTCAACGAATAAATCTAAAAAAGATTTTGCATAAAGTGTAGTTTGTGAGCACGGTTTAAGTTGTAATTTTGTTCATAATATACTTCAGAGATACGGGGATTCATTTAAAGTAGCTCTTCAACTTAAATAAATACTTGAGCGTCGACTTGTCGACTTAGTTGTTCGCTTTTACTTAAATTTTGTCTTAATTCCATAGAACGTGATCTTAAATCAAGCAAAACGACACACAGAAACAAACTAAACGTTGACTAAAGTGCTTAAGTGAAGAAACCTAAGAATATTGACAAAGTGCCTCTGTGTATTCGAATTTCAGTATCGATGGATCATGTATTAAGCATGGACAATTCACTTATATTTATGTGCCTCGAATCATGCACCTAATCTAGCACACTTACGACGTTGTGGCGTACAACATAGTTCTTCTGACTTGACAGGCAGCTCTTACATAGTTAGTAAGTGTATAGAGAATTCTAGCAATTGATTGAGAGAGCTTACTCCAGTTTGAGCTGCAGATTTTATAACTAGTGAATGGATGAGTGACTGCCTTCAATGATAATCTGCAAGGAAGTTACCGGACAGCCTGAAGTTGACAAGTCTGGCTTGCCAGCACTCTGCGCTGATCCCTAATCGAGAGTCCCACAGGACTTCTGCCACGGGATCTTGCGGGACTTTGAGGGCTTTCGGATCCCGCGGGAATCCTACCTGACTCCCGCAGGATCCTGTAGCAGGAGTCCCGTGGGAATTTTGTCGGGAGTCTCGACTAGGGATAATGTTAGCTGCAAAGCGACGGGATCTTTTTATTCCTCCTATGAAAACACTATTTCCTATACTGACTAGCAATGAAAACGTAGATTTTTAGCAAACCGAACCGTCTACTTAGACTTACCAATCTAATCCCTCCCAGTTCGATCTAGAGCTAATAATGAGACAAGTAAAAAAAAGGTTCACACATGTCTGCTGAGACGATAGATTCATAAACGGAACGTAGATCTTTCCGTGCGCTTTCAGAACGTCTTCAGAAAAGAAATGCAGTGAATATATAACTTCTTTTACACAGAATGGTGTCGACATATATGCTCTGATGTATTCGTAGAAGAAAGTTTAAGCGGTGGTGGAATAGAACAATCATGGCTCAGTACATTCTGGAAGATAGTTGAGCTAAGCATATGAATCGCGTATATTTCATATATTCATATTGAGGTAAGTTTATTTCGTGAGTTGTTTGTTCTTTATAATCTGATTTAACGTTACAATTGTCGAATCAAGCAACAGTACATGGCTCTCAGCTCGATGTTTGTTATGTCAGTTTCAAAAAAATGTAGAATTTAATAAGGGTTTCATATCCAATCACGTTAAACGGAAAGACAAATCAACATGGCTGCCCCAATGTCGTCGTCTTCGACAGACGACGACACTGGAAGATTAATATAAAAAAATAATAAATATAAATAAAGAACAATAAAGCCGCTAATAAGAGATTATCATGTCTGTTTTTCAACGTTTTAATACAATTATTTGTGTGATTCTCTTTTTCTCCATAAATTCAATGGCTTAGAGAAGAAAATTTGATTTTCTTTTGTTCTAGGGAAACCATTGCGCATAGTATCGTTTTTACAACAGAAAATGTCCTCACATTATACACCAAGAGATAATATGAAAGATCAACGCACACTCTACTGTGGAAATTTACACGAGAATGTTACCGAAGAATTGTTATTTGAATTATTTCTTCAAGTAATTATCATTTTTATTCATTTTACAAACAAAATGAACGTTTCGTTACAATATCTTCCGTATTTTGAATGATAAACTCTTTAGCAAGTTAGAAATGAAGCTTGTTTCTTTTTTCACTTTGTAGAGCGGTCCATTAGAAGATGTGAGATTAAAACGTGATGGGAGAAGAGCCTTTGCATTTATTACATTCAAACACGAAGAATCCGTACCATATGCTGAAGCTATTATGGAAAATGTTCATTTATTTAATCGTCCGTTACGTTTAAATCCGCGGGCTAACGCCAATACCAGCAACAACACAAATAATTCCTATTCAGGTCTTGATTCATCTCCAATGACGCCTTTACTACAGAACCCAATGCAACGTCAATTTTCCATGCCTCCGTTCATGCCATCGTCTGTTAATAATAATTTTGGCTTTAATGCTGCTGCTCAGCAAGTTAATTTTTCTACTTTGATGCCTCCACCAATTCAACACCAGCAATTTTCATCATTAAATTCTTCAACGATCACTAATTATAAATTATCACAAAATGACGACGATGAACCAAGACATTCCACACCGAGGCAATCAAGACGTGATAATCGTTCTTATCATCCTTATCGTCAACAACAACAACAATCTCATTCAGAAGATGATGGTTTTTCCCATCGTTCCAAAAATCAACATACAAACTATGCACGTTTTCGTGATACAAATCAGTTAAATAACAAACGAAGCAACAGCTATTCATACAATCATCGTTAATTTGTTTTTCTTTTCGTTTTTTTAGTTGATTTCAATATGTTGAAATCTTCTCTAGAGCACGTATGATTTAGCTCTATGTAAATTGAGTAAACAGTTCCTTATTTTTTGAAAGGATAAATAGATTTTAGTTTGAGCAGATGTGTTAGACTCTTTTCGATTAATTCTGTTGTTTCTGTTAAAAACATATGCTGTTTGTCTTCGTTTCGTCTGTGTATGCAACTATCAGCCGGAGTTACATCTTCGTCAAAGCAAACGTTATATCTAGACTTTGTGAGCTAATTTTAATGATTTTTGAATGACTATGAGAAAGAAGTTCACAGATGTAACTTATTTTTTCTTCTAGTTTATTGTTGTGTTTTTTTCTTCTGTTTTTTATGTATGTATATACATATATATAAAAGCTTGCCTGTGTGTTTGAAACTAACATGCAAATTCCTATGCATAAGAGAAATTGACGGTCACGTTTTGGAGACTATTAAAGAGAAAGGAAGCGGCACGTTTTTTAAAATTTAAAGCCATATATTTTCATGCTTAAATTTTGCAGCAAAACGAAATTGGTCAACTGAGTAATGATGTTATTCTTTTAAGGTTTAGGTAACACACTATTATTCGTCGACATTTAAAACTAAACTGCTTGATTGCGTACTACCAGCATTAAAGAATAAGCTAAGAAGTTTAAAAGGCTTCGTATCTAACAGATTTCGCTACTTATAGATTGAATATACGCTTATGTATATGAGTTTTTATTTTGCTATCGATATTTTCATTCTATCATTCAACATCTGTTCGCATTTTCATCTTAAGCACTCCTCAGTTCATACGTACTCTGTTTTAACGTATTACGGGTTATAACCTCTATATTTGTTTACTTTTTCTTCAGATTTTTATTTCTGCACCCAACTTCTTTTATGTCGGCATATCATAGAAGAGAAGACTATCTTTTCTGTAAGTACAGTTTCCACTGTATTGGCCATGAAACGTAAACGACAAGATTCATCTACTTCGATCAACTCGAACACAAATGAATCAGTCTCAAATAAAATTTCACGTTTACAAATTGGAACAAGCGTGCGAGCACAACTTGACGATAGCAAATGGTAATTGATAGCACATTGACTTTGTTTCCAATAATTATATTTCGTTATTCTAGGTACACGGGTACTATCTTTCAATGTCAGTTACGCAAATATTTGGTTCAATTTTCACATTTGAAAAGTGAAGAAAGTCAACAATGGATTGATTTTGAAAACATCCGTTTAATACCAAAAGAAGTAAGATATATGATTACTGGTATCATGCATGAACATTTTTCAATTATACTATCTAAAGCTTATTTTCTATTTTGTGGAATAGTCTTGGTTGCAGAATGGAAAAGATGATTTCTTTTTTCATTTTAGAAACGTCCCGGAACAAGTTCACGACAAAATGCAGCATTTGAATATCGACCTGGACAGTTTATTCGTAATGATACTAAGACAGCAAATGTATCAGTTCCAATCGGTTTGTTATTATTTCTATGCTGACTTTTTCATTGAGCAAAGACGCTGTTTCTTCTCCTTAGTATAGACATACAACCTATTTCACAAACAACAATAAGAACATCGGAGAGAAGAATCTCAACCCAATCGAACTCAAATTTAGCAGCTATTCAAAATAATTGTAACTCTAGAGATGGTACGAAAGCAACAAATTAGCTAGAGATAAAAACTATCTATTTTCTGTTGTTCTTTTCATCAGTTAACCCAAAGAAAAAGACTTCATCTTCCACAAGAGCATCCTTTGTCTGGAAACCAAACACAAATATCAGTATGTTGCGATTTAAGAACTATTGTTCAAATGACTAAACCGTTTTTCTATTAAGGTCTAAAAAGTTCAGCATCACCAGCAATAGTTTCACCTCTTCCGATAAATCATCATTGCACATCAATACTATCAACTGAAAGTCCGATATCCTCGATCGAAATACCGAAGTCTAGCTTGTTATCGCAACGAAATCGCACTGAGTCGGATTCAAGCTCAAAAGGATCTATTGAATCCTCACAAGAATCAACATTGAAACAAATTGAATATAGTCAGAGAAACCCAGTTGAAAATGAAGATGAAACGTATTATTTACCATCTGAGCGTGTTTCATTGTCAGATCGATATCCAACAAAAAAGTCTGCAGAACGTTCTTCATCGAATGAAAAATCAAGTGGAAGAAAGCCTGATCAATCTGAAATTGTTATTTTTCGTCCAAGTAAGACAAAAGCTCCTATTCCTTACTGATCTTATTTTACACATTTGCTTCTATATTAGTTATTCGGTTTATTGATACGAAAAGTCGGACTCTATCATCGTCATCTCAATCGAAAGATAGACCAAAAAGGCCTAGTAGGTTGAAATGTATGTTTCTTATTAAATTTATTAATTTATGTGTCTTAAAATTCAGGAGTCAATTCCAAATTGTCTATAGATCTGACAAGCCAACTTTCACCTACAAGACATCCGCATATTCGCAAGGACCGAAAACTGATACCAGTTCATGATAAACAAGAAGAAAAAAAAATTGTACAAAATCAAAAACAACAAGAAAAAAATGAAATAACAGAAAAAACTTTTGCTGTCCAAGAGGAAGTCGTCTCTTCGACATCTCAACAAGAATTGTCACCGTTATCTATATCAGTTGAACAAGACGATGACGTATCACGAAATACATTGGAATCTGATCAACATTTATTCGATGATGATGAAGACATAAATGTTATTCAAGCATTAATTGATACCAATTTAAATGTTTTGTTAGATGATAGTCAATCAGTAACAAATAGTGTCAACAAAGATGAAGATTTACCATCGACAACAACGACGATATCACAATCTCATTTTTATAATTTTCACGAAGATGACCTTATTTATCCGACCGATAGTCATAGTCCAACAAGTACCGATATTCCCTATGTTGTACATCAGGTTGAGGGAGCAATAACTTCATCAACGGCAAATGATGAACTAATCGAAGCACAGGGTTTTCTACAAACTGAAGATAAAAGTGAAGCGGAACCGATAACGGAGACAAATCTTGCTCCTCTTCTACAAAGGCAACAAAATTCAGAACGTAAATTTCTTGGCTCTTCTTTGTATTATAAAGTTGTTATATAATCATTTTCATTTTAGATTTACTACACGTACCTCAACATGATCGACAAAAGTCAAAACGCAAACAGCATCGCCCACAACGTGTTACTGAAAGTGATGAACTACAACGACGTGAAGCTATTGAAGAACAAGTACCTGCTATCAACATTGATAAACCAATACAAAGACAACGACAAGGAAAACGAATTAGAAGCGTGCTGGGTAAACTACGGCAAAAACCGCCAGAAGAAAAACCGGAGAAATGTTCAACAAGAAAGTCATCAAATAAATCGGTCACAGTCAAACTTGAGCCGATGGATGTGATTATTCAAACTCCATCATCAATATCATCATCAACTGAAATTAAAGAAGAAGAATTACCTGTACAGACAACTTCTTCATTCAATTGGGAATTAACAATCTCACCTAAACGTCAACAACAGTCAAAAATGAAAACGCTTGGTTCTACCAAAAAAAGTATGATCTGCAACAGTGCTAGACGAGAATATAACTTTTTATACTATATTATGTCCCTAAACAAACAGTTAGTGGATGCTCATGTTCCCATTCACAGAGATCTTTCTTTTCCTTCCAAGCAATTTCGTACTCTGTTTGAGCCAGTAGCACAAACAGGATTTGGATACCAGAGCAAATCTCTAGTGAGGTAAAAGAAAGGGATGGATATAACCATAAATAGGCAGATCATTTTTTGCTGCAAAACATGACGGTAAAAATTCTGATTAAAAGTTATATTCCGATCTGGATTACTATCTTCAAGTTAGTTCTCTTGTTAGTATCAGTTTATTCTTCTCTTCGCAGACGATATGGTTGTGGAGCAAACCAATCAATCTGAGTCATTCGTAGATGAAAATGCCTATTTGTCAGATGAATATGAAGATCCAGAAACATGGGTAGTTGATGGTTCACATAATCTTTTAAAAATACACAATGATACTTTGAAAAATAATCTAATTCATCCCACTCAAATTCAATTAACTCGTGTAGAATTGAAACAAATATTAAATCGTCTACAAAATATTTACATGACATTACAGGAAAAAATGACAACTAAGACAACAATTTCTCCATCAACGAGCGATGAAGAAGACGAATGTCGGCAAAGAGATTTACTAATTGAAACAGATTTTTTTGATAGAGAAAAGTTTATGTTAACAAAATATTTAAAACATGTTGATAAATGGTTGAAAAATGATTTTGAACGTTATGATTTATTAGAAACCTATAGAAAAATGGTCTATTCAGATAGTAATAATGATAATAGTAATGATGTAACTCATCAAACATTTGTAGAACAATTGCATTTACTAGGGGATATACTAAAATTTATATTTTGTGTATTTTTTAAAAATACCACTGAACAGATGACATATACAAAATCTTCTATGAAATCGTTTAAACAACATATTAATCATATGCCGGATGAAATTAAATACCATATTAAAACATGTTTAAAACAAATTATTGAAATTGATCGACAACAACAGGAAAATAGAGGTAATAACAATTTTTTTAAATATTTCGCTTAAATGAAAACTTGATAGATGGTTGATTTTAGTAGTATCTGAAACACTGAGATCGTTGTTTGTGTGACTAATCTATCCATCCATCTATTCTTCTTAGCTGTTACTAGAGGCGAAAATAGGATCGGCTACAGTCGGACTTGGGCAGCATATCTTTACTGAGCAGTACTTGTTCTTCTAAGCTGTTGAATACAGATTTTCTGCGTTAGGCATTTGAATCGACTTCGTATGAGGCTCTTTCGAGTATAACTGAATAAGAATGTGAAACATCTTTAGCTATCATGAAGATACTACATGATTTTCTCCCTCTCAAAAAATTGTACAAACTGAGATTGATAATACGGATTTCTGCAAGACTTCAACGAAGAATATTTTGTCTTTTTTTTGTCTAGTTCAAAATACCAGTGAAAAATTGACTACTTTTACATTTGTCCATGAACCACTGTCATCATCTACGAGTATTAGGGATTTAAGTAAGCGTTCATTAAATTCAAAGTCCAAATTATCGATGACAAGATCAAAAGCAAAAATACCTATACCACGATTAACTGTACCGCCGATAACTATTCGAAGACAACGGTTAATCGCACCTAGATCATCCACACAATTGGAACCAAAATCGATTCTTCCTGTTGTAATGAACGTGATGGAGTCGTCAAGGTAATATTTTGCTTATCTTCAAGAACTCACAAACATTTTGTTTTTAACTTTGTTTTCTTATTAGATCACCATCAACGATTGAAACTTCATCAAGTCCATTACAATCTCTAGATGCGAGTAATAGTGATGTAGCATCAATCGAAGATGAATCTAATATGTTGCGGACAACAAAGTCAAAACGACAAATTAAAATACGTAAACCAACTGCATTTTTGAACACAAATGAACACTTAAAATCACAAACTCCACTTGTATTACAAACAAATTCAATCTCGGAAATATCACCATTAAAAATAAGCAATCAAAACGATAAAAGTCCTCTCACGGATGATATTATTCAATATATTTCACCGAAAAAGACTATACTATCTCCATTAAGTTTAATTGAAGTAGTTGATTCAGCTCCACAAACTACCGTTGAAACAATTTTGACGTCACCATCAACACTAACAGTACCAACAACAACAATAGCAATAATTACGGATGAAATAAGTCCTGATTCTATGCTTCTAACAGAAAATGATGATACATCAGATGTAGTTGTAGAAGAGCTACGAAAAAAACAGCATAAAGAAGAGAGAGACATTTATGAAGTGATTCATTGTATTTGTGGTGTCGAGATTGATAATGGGTTTATGATACAGGTATAAATATATTGTTAAAAATACTTTACAATAATCTAAGATATTTATGTTTATTTAGTGTGAAACATGTTTATGTTGGTCACATTGTACATGTGTGGGAGTTACAGAAACATATGTGCCCGCCGTCTTCAAATGCTTCGTCTGCACAAAATCACAATGTAAGTAACATCGAGATTACTATCACATACAAAGTGAAACATTAGAGTCTCACTTTTCTACTACTCTTTCAAATAAACATTTAATTTAAATAATAAAACGACTTTCTTTCAACTTTTAGCTGAATGTACACAACAGTGGACAGTAGATTCAATTGATGTTAACGATAATTGTTCTTTTTTAACAACAATCGAAACATCAAATGAAATGTCTATCTATTTTGATTGTATTAAACCATTGTATGATATACGAGAACGAATAATGAGTTTAAAACTAACTTATCAACCGATATTAAAATGTTTACACAATGCATTGGGGTATGAAATATATATGTGTATAAACGAGATGCTGCATATTATATTAAATTTCTATTTTCGACGTTTTTTTCCTATAGAAGTGATGATTTGTTTAAAATTTTTAAATATGCTAATATTAGACATGAACATATCAGTGACCATATTCAACGGCGAGAAGAAAATAAATTCTTTTATAAAGATATAGCCAGTTGTTTGAATAATGTTATTGCTTGTGTATGTGATGAAAAACAGAGTCAACAAAAAACAAATGGCATTATTAAGTGAGTATTGACAGTTTTATTTTCATTCTATCTACTTATTGTCTTTTATTTTTAGTTTTGTCGATCATTTATCATCATCTCAATGTAAGTAAAACGTTTTATTCGCAATCAAACATTATTGTATTAATTATTCTTATATAATTTATATTTTAGCTTCGTCATCATGTGTCAGCATAGATCTATGTCCAGATGAAATAAAACTTGAGGTAGATTAGTTGTCTTATATAGCTGAGTTTAAGTAATATTTGATTTTTTATTTCTAGAATGTAAATCAACAAGATATGATTATTTTACCTGAAAATTTAAAATTATTCATTATCTATATGTGTGATGATAGTGACACACAACTAGCTCGGCTAAGTATAAAAACTCGGTATAATGAATTATTGACAAATTTACAAGATAAAATTCAAACATCATTAGATGAATATAAAGGTAACAATATATTTTATTTTACAAAAAAAAGAAATTTTATTTTCTAAATTTTCTATTTTTTCAAGATATTCAAAAACAAATTGAAACAAAACTTGGAATATTATATGATGATAATGATATTGAAGAAAATAATATTCAAATGTTACAAACAATGTATACAAATCATGAAAATGATTTAAAAATATTAATTGAACGTTTAAAATATTGAAATTGTTAAATTTATAGTCAGCAATTAAATGTCTTTCATTTGAATTTTTAAAGCATCATTTATATACAGTGTTTTTGTTTTGTTTTTTACGTATATATTACAGGTAGACTTGGAGAATTTTTCTAATGAATCTCTTGTATAAAAAAAAAAATATGTTTACAAAATTGTGCTCGATAATGTAGTTTGCTAATGATGTATTTTTCTTTTTTTTTATCCTATTCAAATTCTAAGCCTACAGTGATCAAAAAGCACGTTTATCAAGTGGAATACATGTAAACATTGTGTGAAAAGATGACTAAGTTTACGTAATAAAATATTTCTACTATTCTCTTCTGGTTTTTTTTTTTTATCTCTTCTCATTTTTGTATATGTGCTTTGTACGGCTGTGACTCTCTGTCAAACATTTCAAAATTATTATGCTTTATTTTTCAATATCGTTTGTCGTTTTTTTTTTGTTGTCGTTGTTTTTTGCTATAAATATGGGCTTTTTTTGTTTATTTCTCTTATATTGGTACTTGTTCATAGACGCCACATACAATTAAACTATATAAAATGTTTTACTGTTGAAGGAACACAACTTTTGTTCAGTAAAGTAGTGTTGAAAATTACACTTCTGATATTCTTCTATTAATCTCAATAATTTTTGTGGTAATAAAGTAATTAAATGAGAATGTAAATGATGGATACATCTATCTTGTAGCGTGAATATTTGTTTAGAATTCATAGAAAACATATCATAACTGCTTTTTTGTATTTAGTATGTTTTCAATAATAGATATTTTTTTGTACTATAGACAGTGCAGTGTTTTGAAAATAGGTGTTTCTCTTCCTATCAAACTTTTACCAAAGTGTTAAACAAAATAAAAATCTGTCGTATTCTGAACATGAATAAAATAACAGGCAAAATCAATAAAAGACAGAAATGTCCTAAAAATCATTGAAAAACTGTTTTCTCTAGCTATTCTTCGCTGCAGAACTGGAACAAATACAATACAAGTCATGAGAAATCCATTCTCTTCTTGTATACATGGATGAAATCACGCATTTTAACGAACCATTAAACTCAAAAATAGATGAGAGTGAACCTCTCGAGTTCTCTGCCTATATTTTTGTACATTATTTTAGTTGAAAGTATTCTCCTCAGCAACAAATATATAATAAACGTACATCTATTTTTTTTCTAATTTAAATATAAACTTTAGATAAAGCGAGGATGGCTACTACTAGTATTTCAAATGAAACTATAAATATCGAACGTGAAAAAGCCAATTTATTAACATTGATCAAGTGAGTTTAGTTTGTTAACAAAATTTCTTTATTTTATTTTTTGAGGTATTCAGAAAAAAGAATCTAAATTTTATTTTAATTATTTTACTTTAGTTACATAAAATTGAAAAGATATTTTATCACATATTTAGGTTGACATTAAATACACTTATTGATCAATCATGTTCAATGCATCAGTTGGACGATGGGAATCCAGATGTTATGAATTTTATGATTACATTAGAACGTATTTTATCATTTCGTATGCGAGGTAAAATTTATTTTCTTCTCTTATTTTACCAAATATACTTGATGGTTTGTCCACGTAACGCGATACTTCGCTGATCAAGCTTCTTTTGGAATTTTTTTCATCAGAAAATCTATCGGACCACATCACTAGACGCAGCTATTGGTCATGAATCTGACCTTTGTTTTTAAAGAAAAAATTAACTTTCAATATAAAAATTTTAATTTCAGTTTTCTAACCTAGACATTTTGTTAAAAAACATTTAAAAACATACAATTGAATAGAGAATTCAATTCTCTACAAAATAGCTCATTTTGTTTTGAGATCTATTTTTCAGTCGAGCTACAGTGGTTGCTTGAACGTGTCAACTTTCACCTTGGTCTGAAAGCTTCAGAGAACTTTTCGAACTTTATTTTCAATTCGAGTCTTTTCAGAAAACCTAGTACTACACAGATTATAAGTATAAAGTTTTTCGAGCAACGACTAGTGCCTAAAAATGGTATGACAAAAAGTGTGTCATAGCGTTACTTTACAAAATTGACTTTTCTGGACGTGCGGAAGGGTTTTTTTAGCAAAAGAAAGTCCGTTAGCTCCTCTATAAACTTTGCTCAAGACATTTTTTATTAGCTTTTCTAAATTCGCAGAAATTTGTACTTTAATGAGGAGTAGTTAGAATTTGGGGCCTTTTTATGTTACGGTGTTACCGGTCTAAAAAGGTTTTCTAGAAGGTCGAGTATTTAATCAAAAAACTTCGTTTTTATACTCAAAGTAGAGTAAAAAGAGTCGCGTCGAATAGCGCAAAAACAAACTTTCTAGTTCTTATAGTTTTTGAGCAAACCCCAAATTACTGCGTCAAAAATGTCACAGCATTACCTTTGGACAAGCCGTTTATCTGTATAAATTTTTTTTCATCTACTTTAGCTAACTGGTTATCGGAACGTCGATATTTTTGGGATTTTATTAAACCAGCATGTATTGGATCTTGTCGTCAAAATATTATTGAGCGAGTTGAAGATTTATCAAAAATGAAAAGTTTAAAAGAAAAGGTTTAATAATTAGTACTTTTCTCCTATTTCAAAATAATTTAATTTTTATTTTAATTTTTAAGGGACGTGCATGGATTAAATTTGCATTATTAGAAAAAAAACTATCAGAATTATTAAAATTAGTTATTAGTGATTGTCATTTGGTGAGAAAATTCTATCATGATGATTCAATTATGACATCATCACAAGCGTTCATTCTATGTGATCAATTAACGGGTTTGTCAGCCATCGATTTTAGGTAGGATTTTGTTGTTTATTTTTCTTCTATTAAGAATCTATATTGAATAGAATATATCGATTATTTTTAGTTTTTGTTTTAAACAACCATTACCTACCTCTTTGACTTCGCCAATATCATCGAATCTGAATGATTTGGATATTGATGTTATTGATGTGACACCGTTTCTATGCTATAAATCAAAACAGTATGTGAATTAAAAAAAGATCAAAATTCAAACGTGGTGTACACTTCTTTTTTTTTGATTTTTATTTCAGCGCAAAATATCCGTTACAAGAAACAAATGTTTATTATGAAGAGCAGAATGTAGAAAATAAATCGGTCGATGATGTACAAGAAATGACTGAGCTTAATTTAACAAAGGCAGTTTCGATTGAAAAATATAAATTAGAAGTTGAACAAAGAGTAGGATTATTTTATTTATCTTAAGCCCATCCGCACCACCCCCACTTCCATGTTAGAAAGATCAATTTTGAGACTTTATACACATTGCTGGACAGTTCAGAGTGTGTACTTTCGAACGCGTTATATTTTTTTGCTTGGATGATGATTTTTGATAGTTTTTTTTCTAAAGGTTCAGAAGGCAAAAAAATCATTTTTTCATTTTTCAATTATTCAGTTTATCAACGGAAGGGTATGCCGCATATGTATCTGCACATATCCGTTCGATGTTTCATAGTCGATACCTTTGACAAATTCCTTTTAGTTATTTCCCACATCACTTGTGCTTACCTCAATCTAGTCTCATGAGGGACCTTTTCCAACTGTCTAATCGCTTTCTGGTCGAAATCTAGTGGGTTACAGGTTATCGACTGTGCTGAATCCGAATATTAACATGAGACGGGCCCTTAGGCCTGCAAAGGCCCGTTTTTCCAGAAATCTCGAAAAGTCTCTAAACTTTCTCTTAATAGATGATGAGTGTAGCCCACGAAATTCTGATCAAAATGAGACATTTTCCACTTCTGTATGACCTTTTTTTTGCAAAGTTATAGAATTTAGAAGAAAAGCCTTAAATGTTCATTGTCAGCTCAAAGCTACAGAAATAAGGAATAAATTTAGGACTTCTCTTGTAAATTATATAACTTTGCAAAGAAAGGTCATGTAGAAGTGGGAAATGTCTCATTTTGGTCAGAATCCGTGGTCTACAATCGTGATCTATTAAGAGAAAGTTTTAGGGCCTTTTCGATGTTTCTGGAAAACTGCTCTAGCAAGGCCTAGCGATCCGTCTCATATGGCTATTCGGAATCAGTGTGATCGATAACCTATAACCTACTAGGTTTCGACCAGAAAGCGATTAGACAATTGGAAAAGGTCCCTCGTAAGTAAGATCAATATTGGATCAAAATTTATTCACGATCCCATGTTTTGTGGGGAAAATAGATTTCTGACAGAAGAACTCTTAAATAAATAAAATATATTTTAGTAAGGGAGGATCGAATTTTTCAAGAAGACTGTAGGCTTAAAATATTTTCTCGTACAAAGTCAATTCTTTTTAGACTTTTCAGACTTCAAAACTTTTTTCAATTATCGACGATATCTCTTCTAGTTCTTATGGTTCTAAGTGTCGTCCGTATATATTTCATTAGGGTGACATCTCTTTGATTGCAAATATATTTACAACACCTTTTTGAAAATTTTTTATTTTAGAAATATTTTGAAGAATTATTGAGTCATCGTGATCGTGAATTGCAACAAATAAAAATTCAGTTTGAGAATTTAAAACGAGATCGAGAAACAGAAGTTATGCAAATGGAAAATATCATTGTAGAATTACAGTTAGAATTGTAAGTCATAATAATTAGATTTTTTTTCTACAATTAACAGAAAAAAAATCAATTTGTATCTCATCCTAGACATTCAGCACGAGATGATGCCGAACGAAAACGTAAAAAGCAGCCAGTAGGTAATATTTCATCCAATCGAACAGAAAAGAAAAAACCATTATTCCCGTTGGGAGTAATTCGACGTAGTTCAACGTCGTCAAGTCTGCAACCAATTACCGACATAATATTAACAAATGATGATGATAATTCATCAGAAGCGTAAATTTTTACAATTGTTTTTCATTTTATCTTTAAATAATCAATTTTCTATGTTTCAGACATATGCGATCAATAGAAAATTCATTGACACAAACAGATGAAAAAACAGTACAAGTACGTTTTTCTTCATAGATTATTTTTACTATTTAACATAAAAAATTTCTTTTTATTAGGAGTCAAATGTAGTTGATCAAAATCTTGTTGATAATTTAACATCAAAAGTAAATGAATATGTTTTTACACAAAATGTCGATGATAATAGTACAACAAATTCTCAATCATCACGTCGTTCGAGTCATTCGACAAATGGTGTTGATGAACAATATGAATTAGTACAAATGGGTATTCCAACGATGGCAAAATCAGCAGTTACAACAATTGAAAATCAAAATGAAAATGCTTTAATTAGTTCAGCAGAAATGCTTTCATCTGTAACATCGTTATCAGGCGATGATGAAACAGAAGATAAACAACAAGAACAAGACACTAATAAAATAATTGATGAATCGGGTAGTTTTGAAACAACAACATTATCACCTGAACAACAAAATCTATTACAAGAAGAAAATACAGAATAAAAATAATTTTATTTTGTTTTTATCTCGATTATAAACAGAACATTCCATATTTTCTATCTACACAATATTTGTTTGATTATTCTTAATGATCTTTGTTTTTCTAGAATGATAGATAACTCTTCTTTTGTGCAAGCAAAATAAATGTCAAATGTTTTTTTTTTTTATTCTTTTATAAATCAAATCGTATGTATATAAAAGCAATAATTTGCAGTGGCTATTTTCAAAATATCCGTCTCATATAGAAAAAAAATACTTTTGACTAAATTAAATTTTTTCTCAAACTTTTTAAATTTAACATTTTTATCTTACATAAAATCATTAAATCATGTTTTTTTGTTTGCAAAAACTCTATCGTGATATCTGACTTTTCTTCTTTCTTTTTGTGATACATACGAGCATTTCGCTCTGTATACCACTTGTTTATTTTCTTCTTCTTTATTTCAGTTGTTAGCCGCCTGTTATTTCATTTGTATCATGTGTGCGTGTGTCTTATTACAATTGTCGTGTTTAAAGTTTGACTTTTACTATTCGATAACTTTTTTTTTTTTTCTTTTGTTAACACTTTTTAATAATTTTGTGTGTGAATGAGTTTACATTTCTCAATACAACTAAGAAATAAAGTTGAAAAAAAAGTTGTTCATACACTTCAGATTTTTATACATAATGACACATGAATATACCCAGTCGTATTTTCGAGATTAAACAAGAACATGTTGAACAGGATAAATAAAATTCGTTATTAATTAGTTTTTCAACTAATAAACAAGAAAAAATCAGATCTAACATTTTTTCCTTTCTGATTCTTGATGTATCCATTCATTACTAATGTTGTTTTTGAGAAAAAAGTAGATCATATTCATGGTTACATCAAAGCAAATTCATACATTAAATTTATTCGCACACCATTAGGCATGAGCGGTGTTACCGTTACCAACGCTCCGATAACAACTTCAGATTTTTACCGCGGTAATTTCAAACCGGTAAAAAATCACAAAGTTTTACCACGGTAAACTTCGGTAAAAAAGTTTTTTACCGTTACCGGCGGTAATTTACCAATGACTACAGAGTTTTTGATAATATATGTAGGTTATTTTTTAACTACGATAAATAGGTTTATTCATGAAAAAGTTTATTCAGGTCAACATGAATCAGAAATATTGATGGTACACTTGTACCAGGAATAGCTAATAGTACTTTCGCAATTGAACGAAGACGTTTCAGTCAAGTATTGTCTGTCCAAAATGTGTTGTATCTTGGTTTTGTTAACATTTTTAGTATTGTTTTATATCGATCAAATGCAAGTGAAATATTTTCTTCACTGTTAACTACTTTTGTTCAAATACCAATACGGTGCAAAAACAATTCGTAGTTACTCAAATGGTTATTTTCAGTATCCATATCTTCGTCTTTTATCTCATCTGCCCCCGGCTTTTGTTGTTGTGAAGTGTTCGATCAAGGGACAGTTTCATTTTTTAACTGCAACTAATTTTTATGTTGTTTTGTTGCGTTATATTAGATCTATGTCTAGTCCATTTTATATTAGTGATTCTGCTAGTGATAAATTGGAGGGAAAATCAGTGAATTAGTTAAATTACATTCAAATAAACTATTTTACTTCGTAGCTATAGAACCAAATATGCAATCTTGCAAAAACACTTGTGAAAATTCATCGTATGTAAGTAGTTTTGAAAATACTTGCCAACTTTTCTTATTCATATATCAAAGTGAACTAAAATATATGTTTTGCTGCTCCAGAGTGCCGTCTTTCTTTTTGTATATCATAGGTTAGCTTTAATACATGTTTTTCTTTGAACAAAAAGCAATTTTTATCAAAACTCATGCTAAAAACGAGAAAATTTGACTTTTTTGTCTTAGCATAGTGAAAAATTTTCTCAAGTGCCTTAGAACTTCGAATCGAAATGATGACTTCTCGCAAAAAGAGAAAAGAAAAACAAAGTTCACTCCCAACCATTTGTAATGACAAACAATTTAAAATCTTGTTAGTCAATACAATTTTTCGAGTGCTACAAAACGGAAGGAACTACATTGAAAAAACTGTTTTTTTTGGATTAGGAAGTACTCGAGATTGCATGTTCGTAGTGTTTTCTCCATAGTCTCTTATTTTTAAATTATAGAGAAAAATGTTCGATATATTTTTTTGTAGAAAATTAAATGACGCATTTTTCTAAAAAAAAGAATTAAAATTTGATTATATTTTTGGAGTAAGATATATACAAACAATAAAAACGAGCAATCATTTTGGGATACCCGATATTTGCAAAACGAATAATGATGATATATATAAAAATTTCACATTAATATATTCAATTGATAAACTTTTGATAGTGATATATCGTTTTATTTTAGTAGTAGTTTCGACTTTTTTACTTTGAAATAAGTATCCAACAACGCAAAACATTTGATTAAAATCTTTATTCTTTTTACCCTATCTCGCAGTTATAGCATGAGCCAAGGTTAAGCTTTTAGTATATCGATATTTAAAAAAAGCTCCCAAAATAAATTTAAATAAAGTTTGTAACGGGCACTTTTCTATTAACGATTGATCTGATTAAGATGGTTCCTTCACATTTTATGTTCGTTATTGTATGCAGATGGTCCCTTTCTGTAGAAGAAAATTTATCTGACATATAGTTAATGAGATTTTGTGTAAATAACATGTTTTATCTGTATATTTAATACTCTTTTTATTAAATGAGTCATTGGCACACTAAGCATAATTCAACGAAATTAGTAGTAACACCTAATGATTACGAATTTTTGTTTAACAAAGCGGTTGTTCAATTTTTTGGACCATGATGTGCGTTTCCTCTTCCCACTATTTTCGTTTCCTTCGTTTTTTGTACTTGATGGATGACATTTTTGGTCAAAGAAATTATCTGCAAAATTTTGTAATGGAAAAGAAGACAACGAGTAGATAAGTAGGCACGACTAGTTTTTCAATAAATTAAAATTTGAATAAACTGAAGAAAGAAGAAAGAAATAATTAATTGCTAGTCTCACTTTACCAGCTAAGCCCCAAATACAGTCCCATGCTATTTCTGCCATTTTATTTTCCAATTTGATAAGTATGCATACAGTTAATCATGATTAGAGCAGTCACACTACATTTAATCGCGATTAACACTAATCGTGATTACGCTATTCACCTTTTTAATCATGCATAAAGTTAATCATGATTAGCTAGTTAATTGTGATTAAGAGCCCCCCCCCCTTCCTTAGGAAATTTTTGTTTTTATTTTACATCCGATTTCGATGGCGCTTTCAGTGACTTATGTACTGTTATTGCGTGACAAGGAGCAAAATGGGACTCTTAGTAAAAGCGTTATAACTTTTTTGTTGGAAGGTGCAGAAAGCTGCGAGAGGCCTCAAATGAAAGTAGACATCTAAATCTAAAATTTGATCTTCGGTGATTTTTGAATGTCGCTTCCGTTCATTCCTCACACGGCGGAGTATTTGCCACTTATCTCTGTACAGAAAACAAAAATCGCCGCAGACTAAAGTTTAGATAAATGTCTTAGCTTCAAAATAAAAAAAGAATGAAGGTTTTACGATGAATCGTCTACGAGTTATTACAACTTTACTGCGCCAAAACCGTATTCTAAGCAATGCCGTCATCACTTCATTAATTATAGTTCAGCACCTTTAGCAAAACTAGTATAACTCTGCAAGACAAAGTCGTACAAACCTGCTGGATATCTCATTCTGATCAGAACACTCTGTTCAACATAGCTCCATGTATATTAAAATGGACAACCTTAAAAATTTTAATTAAAACGTGAAATTTAGAAAAAGGTGATTTTTAGAGCTTTCAGAAATATCTTTCAAAATCCTCCAAAAACGTTAAATTTTTAGCAAACTGAGATGGATTCTGAAAGATGACACTTTGGGATACTGAACCGTATGGTTACTTCAGTTTCGAAGGTTTCGAAGAAAACATCGAATTCCTGAAGGGGGGGGGGCTTAAGGCCGCGGTCACACTACGAATTAACCGTGATTAAGGCTGTAGTGTGACCCTAGTGATAGTTTCAATGACAAAGTATTATTGCGTTATTAAGTAGTGTATTGAAAGCAGTCTGTTTTACATGGTGACAATAATCTTAGAACAACCCATGAGGTTTTCTTTTGGTTTATCGGCTAATCGATCCGTCACAGCTCATGGCGATTGGAGAGAAAACTGCGACTGCATGATGCACAATCGCGATTGTACACTGCACCATGAAACTGCAGTTTTGATCGCAGTCGCCATGAGCTGTGACGGATCGATTAGCCGATAAACCAAAAAAACCTCATGGGAAGCCATATTTATATAAGTTTCTCCTTTTACCTTCCTAGTTCGTTTCAGCGTTTTTTACTTAGTAGATTCACACAATACTACTAATCAGCGCAAACCTTTTCTACTAAGTTTGATTAACAATTCATAAAATATCAGTCGCATACTTAAATCAACACCGAGACTGTTATGTCATGCACCAGAGTCGTACCATAAGAAAGATCATAGTTAAGGTTATAGTGCAGGAATAGTTAAGCCTATTGCATAGAGTATAGTCAAGATTATTGCACAATATTTCGTGTATAAATAGATCGGGTTCTGTTGCTAAAGCGGAGATTTTTGTTTGTAAATAAACGGTAGTCATAATTATCAGAAAAGACGGACACTAACATTGGTACAAAAACCTAATCTATTTATACACGAAATATTTGCCAATAATCTTGACTATACTCTATGCAATAACCTTAACTATTCTTGCACCTAACCTTGAATATTCTTGCGCAATAACCTTAACTATAATCTTCCAAATCAACAGATTGATAATATTCTAGTTTCTGATTTGATTAACAACAAGTTTCGATTGATTTACAGCGATAGACATTACATTCACAATTTTAATCAAGTGTTTTATAACTCTTGTTTTACTTCATTAAAGCAAAAATATTTGAAATTTATTTATTATGAAGAATGACAATAAAAGATATTAGACGAACACATAATACAAGCATGTTGCAAAATGTGTTAACTATAGACACATACAATGAAAATATACGTGTGATTGATATTAAACTCTATAGCAAACTAAACCGCTCGCTGCTAAAAAAAAAAGAAGAATAACTAGAGAAGCAATATTAAATTGAACACTAAACTGAAGAAAAATATATGTATGTCAGAAGACACACAGATCTGTCAAATTAAATTGATAACAAAAGTGACGAATTTTGTTGCAACACCAATGAATAACCTCAACCATTCCAACGGGACATGAGGTTCAGCAACAACTATATTCGTTGTTTTGTTGTTTGTTTGAAATACCCGGTCGAGTCAGGGCGGCTCACTGACATCATAGTTAACTTTTTTTAACATATCTTTTGCTGTTTTAATTAATCTTGAATCATTTTTAATAAATTTAATTAAATTTTCTGCTTGTTGTTGACCAGTAATATAGGCACCATGTACAGTTGAATAATAATTTGTATGTGTAGCTTCACCAGCAAAAAGAAGTTTTGGCTAGAAAGTTTGAATAATATTAGTAAAGAATGAAAAAGAAAGAAAGAATCCTATAAGGAATAGAACGATGACGAATATTTAGATTCAAATGTTAAATTAAGTTTAAAATCATGTTTATTTGCTTACTTCTCAGCGACACTTGCCTGAACCGCCTTCGAACAGACACACCTTCAAACAGTGTCCAGATAAAAACGTGAATATCAGACGCATGATGTATATGTGTGTATTTTCTAACTTAGATATTGATTTTCTTTCTCTTGTTTCATGCGTCTGTACCGCGCCGTTTTCCCAGCTCTCCTGATTCCGGTCATCTGCTCTACAGAAGTAAAGCAGCAGAGTCGCTAAAAATCATGGAAAAAAAGAAACAAAAAACATTATTATTAAAATAAATAGTATGATAGATATCAATAAGATAAGTTTGGATTCTAACAAATAGAAAACATGCAATATCAAATTAGATCCTTGATTCTGTTAGTTATAGATGTCAGAAAAAATATAAGAATTCAGTACATACCACATTATTAACAGATAAGGGTCTTGACAAATCTTTGATATGTTGTCTTGATGTGGCTCCCACTGGAACATAAGAGTAAGAACCTCGTGAACATGGATTTGAAAACCATTGAGTTCTATAAATAAAAAAATGATTATTCAATTAAAGATCTATTGATCAAGATAAACTTTTTATTTTACTTACCGTATTACTTTATTCGGTTTTGGAATTGATGGATTTTTTAAACTTTTACGAAATACATTTGTTAGAACATTACCAATATACGTTTCATCTAAATCTTCACAATAAATAGCCTATAAGTAAAGAAAAATAATGTGTTTTATAGTTGGAAATAAAAATATTTTTTATGATTGCTTACTTCATCACCTGTTATCCATCCAAGCAAAACATTATCATAAACTTTCATAAATAAAAAGATTTTTTTGTACCATTCTTTTTTAATATCAATATTGTCATCTTTATCATAAACAATAGCCAAACTATCTCCTTTAATAAAATCCAAATTGTCATAAAACAAATAGATTTTATCAACAGTACCCATATCCAATTTATGTATAGCTTCAGTTTTCCATGCTATAATAAAATAATTCAATCTATCATTGATACTGTTGCCAATAAAAACAAGACTCTTTATTTTACCTGGTAATGCTGGTGTAAATAAACTTTTATAATTCCATTTTAAACATGCTAACGGTATTGTTACAATACAATGATTACATTCATATCGTTCACCATTAGCACATTCAATTTTAATACGTTGATCATCATTATACCATGAAATATTTTCAACAAATTTATCAAAACGTAACCAACTTTCAGGTATCAATGAGCGAAGATAACGGATCAATGAACTATAACCGCATGGAAACTCAAGATCAGGACCTTTTGGACGTCGGTAAGAGCCAAATTCATAGTGACTAACTTGATCCATACTAAGAAAAAATATTCATGAAGAATTTATTTTATTTGTACTTCAAGTAAATCTTACCTGTTACAACCACATTCACCTGTTTCTTGATCAAATCTAAAAATTAGAAATGAATTTAGAAAAATAAATCAAACTTTTTTTTCTTTTTTTTTTTTCATTTACCGTCTCTGTAGTAATTTTGATTTTAATCGTCGAGTTTCACTATCACCACCATTCAAATTCAAAAAATTTTGAAATTTTTCTGAAAATACTTTTTGAAAACTTTCATTTATTTGACGTTTATCAATCAATGATGTTTGATTATTATTTATTGAATCTAATTCAAATAAATCACGTATATCTTGTGCTAAACTCTCGAAAAATTGATCAACTTCGGTATGTAAACTATTTGGTATTTCATTTCCATTTTCATCAACACACGTTCCAATATCAAAAGTGAGAATGGTACCAGTATGAGATGGAAATTTTTCACGTTGTACTAATTCATAGACTGGATTATTTTCAAGACCATGTATCCAACAAGCGCCCATATCTAATGGTTTTGAAAAACCATCATCAAGATAATTGGTAAGAATACGACCACCAACACGATCTTGACCTTGAAAAAAATAATTTGATTAATTCATATATAATTGTTTTTGTTAAATATTTGTTCACTTACCTTCTAAAATCATAACACTTTTAAAGCCCGACTTTTTTAATTGATAAGCGGCTGACAGACCGGCCGTTCCGGCTCCGATGATTATGACCCGGCGGAAAATTGGTCGGTTGATTAAAGAATTCTAAAACATATGGTATGTTATCGTATAATTTGAATTGAAGAGTTTAATCATTTATGGTACTTACTGGTGTCTGATCGTCCGATAACATGCCTCCGTTTAACGAATGTAAATTTGACCGCCACTTTTTGCTGAAAAATAGAAATAAAATTAAATGTGTGATGTTTTCTCATATTCAAACTCGCAGTAGAACAACTGAATATCCTTCTTTTACTATCTACTACGTTTATTCTAAACATTGCTATACTAACTTTCACTTCCTCTTCAAAAATGATCTATATAATTCTTAATATGCTTTGAATATCAAAAACTTAACTCGTCTTGTTTTTATCAATTATCAGACTATTTGTCTGTTGATGAGAAGAAGATGAAAGGAGTGTCTCTATCACTTAGGATCTCTCTCTCTCTCTCAGTACAGTAAATTATCATAAGAAAAACTTTAACCTACCTTTCGATTCAGTGTCCTTCCTGCAGTAGATCAGAGAGGAATAGGTACTTTTGAATTTTGATTTTGTAAAAATATAATGTCAATTGAAGATGGATCGATATATTTATATGTTAATATGCTCGTGATTTACCAGATGTTCGAGAAAGAGAATTAAAAAGTATTGACGTAAATTGAGTCACAAGAGGAGGAAAGTAAACTTATATCTAAAGTAAATATTTGAAAAAAACAAAATCATTTTTAATGCATTAGTGCTAAAATAATACAATAAAAAAAAAGATGATTCATATGCTTCTCAACGAATATGTCATGTTTTTTTCTTCATAGAAACGCAAAAGAGAATCATAAGATCAAAATCAAAACATAGATTAAAAATTCAGAAAAATTAAAGATAAATAGTAGAAGTCACGAAAACAAACAGAAACGAGGTTTTTATTTCAACATTTTTATCCGAGAAAACTGACCAATTTTAAGACATAAATACCTTTTTCGAACAGTATATTTCAAGACGTTCTTATAAGAAAATTTTTTTTCTTATATCATTACTTGTGCAGTCAGTCCATGCACATCCACGTTACTTTTACTTCTATTCGTTCTTATTACTATATCATCAGACTCGATCAATGTGCATTTTTTTTATATAGTAATTTTCTTTTCTTATTTTAAGAACGCAATAGATTGCGCAATTATAAAAAAATACCAATACCAAACTAGATACTTTTTCTATAAAGAAAATTATAGAAGATTCCATGCGTAAAAGAAAAACAAATTCGCTTATTGGTTGTTAAAATCTATGAAATATATAGCTATTAACAGGGGCATCTGTCCCCACCTGAATATTTGAGGCATTTTGTACCACCTCGAAGAGTTCGATCAATCAGTGTACCACCTAAAAATTAATTTCTACAGCAAAAAAGCGTACCACCTTACGTTTGTTTGAGGCATTGCGCCTCAAACGTCTCACAGGATAGTCGCCCCTGGCTATTAATCTTTACAAATTGGGATATTTTTTACTTTTCTTTACTTCAACATATATTTCCTCTGATATGTAAACCTACCATCCAATTTTCAAACATTAAATATTCATTTAATTTACGCAGAATGCTTTAATCGACAAATCAATCTAATCTCTTTTTACATAATATTTTTCGTCTCGTCGCTATGTATTTTATCCACTAACTTTATTGACACATGTTCTGAATTATTTGCAATACTTTTCATCATCAATTCCATGATTCTTGCATGAAAAGTCAGAGCTGACACTACTTAGTTAGTTATTCACGAAAAGTGAATCTTTAGTTAATGTACTTGCATGCAGATACTTGGTCAAGTACGCTCGTAAGTTTCGTCCAACGTCCTTGCGCTTTTTTGCATGTAAACCAAGTAAACCAAGTATTTGCCAAGAAAATCAAGTACTTGAATTGCTTTATCTTCTTGTCAAGTCCTTCGCCAAGCATTTGCTCAAGTAATCATGGAGGTTATATACGATATCTAACTTTAGTATCTTTAAAAATTTCTCCTTTTTAGAAATAAATTAGATTAGGCAAATTAAGGAAAAACGAAACTGATGCAGAAAAACAATTGAAAATCAGGAGAAAATCTTCAAAATCAGCTCCTGAAATCAGAAGTATATTAAACACATATTAAAGAGATAGTGTTGGCTTTGCTTATATTACAAATTACTTTAAAGAGATTTTCTTATACTCATTCTTCCATACTCATTATATACATTATAAAGAGAGATGGTAAAGCGGCGCAAAACGCATGATTCTCCAAAGCTCGGTGACCCACAATCACCGGCTCTCTGCTCTTGTAAGGCTGTTGTGGATGATAGTGATAACGCTTTACAATGTGATGCATGTGAAAATTGGTTTCATATTGCATGCGTGAACGTCTCTCCGGTGGCGTATTCGGCTTATCAAACACTTGCGGACCAGAAACAGTTTTCGAACTGGTTTTGTCCAAAATGTTTGGATGACAAATCTGTCGATCGTCTTCCACCTCGTTGTCTCGCAGCGTTATCTGCTCGAATTGACGCGATTGAGCGTGAAACGTCAAATATTAGCCGTAAACAAGATCAACTTGTCGATCGTATGGATAAACTGTACGAA